CCAGGTGGGCTGTGGGAGGATGGGGATACATGGTGGGCAGCAAACGGGGCAACCATAGACCCAGGAACATCCCTCCAGCCTGGAAGACCTGCCTAGTTTCTCAGCCTTCCCTGACTTCCTCTAGAGATCCATTCTCCTATGCTGTTTAAATATTTACAGGTGGAAGGAGGGAGGGAGGGAGGGAGGGAGGGAGGGAGGGAGGCAGGGAGGCAGGGCTGCTGTCTGAATTGAGGCAGGTGTGGCAGAGGCTTACGTGGAGGGGCAGGGCCGCTACCACCCCAGGGCCAGCTGTGTCCTGGGCAGCCCTAAGTGGAAACTCCTTGGCCTTCTGCGGAAGGCCCATGAGCGCCCCCTATGGAGAGCTCATGCCCTTGCACCTTCACAATCCTGGTAGGTTTCTGCTTGCTTGAAGCCTCAGATCTGTTTCCCAGAAAGTGAGACCCAGCAGGACAGCTCTACTTCCTGGCCAGCTTGTCTGTTTTGAGACAGGTTTCTGTTCCTTAGCCCAGACTTGTCTAGAACACCTGTTCTTCCTGCCCCTTCTCCTGGGTGCCTGAATTTCAGGACTGTGTCAACATGCCCAGTTCAGGGAGGCCTTTTAGACACTTTGTTTTTTGTTGTTGTGTTTGTTTGTTTGTTTTAGGGGGATGGGATCTCTCTAAATAGCCCTGGCTGTCCTAGAACTCACTCTGTAGACCAGGCTGGCCTCGAACTCACAGAGATCCGCCTGCTTCTGCCTCCTGAGTGCTGGATTAAAGGTGTGTGCCACCATGCCTGTCTATTTTTTTAATTAACTTTAGTGAGTATATATGGATGTTTTGTCAGCATTTATATCTGTGCACATGTGAATTCCTGGTGCCTACGGAGGATGGAGAGTCTCTGGAACTGTAATTACAGACAATTGTGAGCCACTGTTGTGTGCTGGGAACTGAACCCAGGTCCTCTAGAAGAGAAGGCAGTTGTCCTAACCACTGAGCCGCCCGTCTCTCCAACACCCCTGCCCCAACACACGCACACTGATTCTTATCAGGTTCAGCAGGTTTCGAGAGGAGCAAGTTCTGCTGTGAGGGACTGCATCCAGACTCCAGACACCCTACTGGTCATATGTTTACCCCTGAGGCCTCCCAAAGTGTCCCCATAGGGTGTTGCTGGCAGGATCTTCTTGGGGTACCTCTCCCTCCTGACCCCCCAGCTCAGTGTCTCTTTTGGTCTCTGTGTGGGAGAGACTCCCAGCCTTGGCCTGTGAGCCGAATCCACCCTTCTCTTTGCCCAGGTGAGAGTCCCTTCTCACCGAGTTCCCAGCTCCTTAGGTGTTCAGCAGAGGGGCAGGCCTGTTCTTCCAAAAGAACTGAGTTAGAATTCCTTTGTTGTTCCCAGTCTGTATGGCCCTTGGGAAGGTGCCTCAGCTCTCTGAACCCCACATACACAGTGCTTGCATGCTGCTGTTAGGGGAGCCCGCCAGAGACGACCACTCACTCTTTTTATAGCCAACTGACAGTCTTGATTCCTGTCAGCTCAAGTATTCGGGACCCAAGTGCAGTGCCAAGTGTTTAGAGTAAGGGGTTTTTAGAGCAAAAACCACATCCTGGTATCTTGCCCTTCAGCTTCAGGGGGAGTTTTGCACAAACAAGTTGTTTAACAGAAGCTAAGATAAGCTAGCTGCGGCATGGTGGTCTCAGGTTCTAGGATAGAGCTGGGTAATTTTCCAGGGGCTTCCCACCAAGAAGACCAAATTCTAGTTAAGCCTAAAATGATCTCAGCAAGATTGCAACATGGAGGAACCTCTGCACTGTCTTGCCCTGTCACAATGCTAGGGATGGAGTCCCACACATGTTAGGTACATGATCTGTGCCTGAGCCACACACCTTGACTCTCTACATATTTAGGGTAGAGCCAGTGATGTCCGCATGAGCATTGAGGAGGGCGCTGTCCACAGGTAGCGAAGTCTGGTACTTGTTCAGTAAAACCTCTCGCTTCCTTAAAACCAAAATGTGGTCAGTGGCCTGTTGTAAGACAAGGACCCTGGGTTGAACTTCTCAGATCTTGGGTGAGTTATCTGAAAAAGAAAAAAAAAAACCTCCATGCCTCAGTTTCCCCACCCGTAAAGGAAACTGAACCTTGCTAGAATGGTTGCACTTGCAGTCTCTGGGGTGTGTGTGTGTGTGTGTGTGTGTGTGTGTGTGTGTGTGAGAATGAGCAAAGTGCTGAGTCATGACCTTGATCATCACACAGAGATGAGGACAAGGGTCCTGTTGCTTTCGTTTGCTTGGGATACTGTGACAAAATACCACAGGCAGATTGATTTACACAGAGCAGGAATGTGCTGTCCTGAAGTTCTGGAGGCTGCAAAGGAAGGACAGAGACCTTTGTGCTGGGTTGTGCTCTCTTGGCCTTTAGATGCCATCTTCTCTCTTGTCTCCGGGCCATCTTCCCTCTGGACCATCTGTCCTGTGTCCCTCTTTCCCTGTTCATATGAGGACACTGCTTATACTAGATTGGGGGCAACCCCAATGGCCTAATTTTAAAGATTTTCTTTTCAAATATGATCATACTCGGACACTAGGAGAAAGTGTTTTAAAATAGCCAGTTGGCACTGGGCAGTGGTGGCACACACCTTTAATCCCAGCATTGGGTGGGTAGGTGCAGGCAGATCTCTGTGAGTTCGAGGCCAACCTGCTCTACAGACTGAGTCCCGGGATCCAAAGCTAAGAGAAACTGGAAACAAACAACAAACAAACAAATATAGCCTGTGGGTGGAGAGAGAAGGGCACACGACCCCGCACAAAGCCAGTTGGGGAGCTGGTCTGTCGCAACAATTTTTGGGGAGTGCAAGAGAAATATTGGGGTGGGGGGAGAGGAGGGAAATGAGACATTCTAGGAAGCCGAGTGGAGCGGAACTTACCAGGGTTGGTTCTTTGCCTGCTCCCTCCCCTCACCCTAGCCTGGAGACCTGCCACATGTCCTGAGGAGGCTCGTGGCTTCCTTTGGGGACACGGAGCAGATGGGACCTGGTGTCTCTGCACACAGGCAGGCAGCAGCGCTGCTGATTAAGAGCAGCCCCGGGGGGCGGGGAGAGGGACGAGCAGATGGCCGCCTCCGGAAAACAGGAGGACACTGGCAGCAGAACCACACCTGCCTGAGACACCGCGGTCACTGCCTAGGACTGGAGCCTGGAGCACCACACTATGGCGATGTCAGAGTCCCTCAGCTATCCTAGGTTAGACCAGCTGGGTGAAAGCCTGGACCAGGATTCAGAGGATATCAGCCTGGTATGAGCCACACTCATGCAGGGTCAGCAAGCTACTGGCCAGCTGCCAAATCTAGCCCTCTGTTGGCTTTCATTTCTTATCTATTTACTTTTCTTAGATGATTTATGTGTGAGGGCGTGCTGCAGAGATCAGAGGGCAACTTGTGAAAGTTCATTCTCTCCTTCCACCATGGGGGTCAGGCTTAGCACCAAGCACCTTTACCTACTCAGCTATCTCCTTGGCCCAATATGTCATTTTCTCTCTGCTTATTTCCTTCCTTCTGTTGCCTTGGGTTTATTTCTTCCTGTTTGCTAATTCCTAAGAAGTGAAGGTAAGTTGTCATTTAGGTCTTCCGCCCTCAGTACTGTTCTCTTGCACCTATTAGGTCTTGCATCTAGTAGACCTCAGCATATTGTATTTGTTCCCTTTTATCTCAAGATGTTTTTCTTTGTCTCCTGGGACTTCTTTGACTGGCAGATGAGCTCTTTCATTTCTGCATGTCTGTGGATTTCCTGTTGCCCCTCTGCTTTTGACTTCCAGTTTCCTCCCACTGTGCTAATGACAGATGGCTGAAGGCGTGGCTCAGTGGACAGTGCTTGCCTGGCATGTGTGCAGCCCTGGGCTCACATCTGTAAAGCAGGGTGATGCCGTGGGCTTGCGGAGGGTTCAGGCTGAGAATAGGTCCTGTGAAGCCCGGCTGCTGTCCCTGTTCTCAGAGCCAGTCATTCATTGGTGCTGATGCAGGTGGATGGGCTGTGGCTGCCCTGCTGCCTCTCAGCACTTAGTGACGTGTGACCGAGGGCTCTGTCATCCTGTTGCACCTCCAGGAAGCAAGCTGCAGGAAGAGACAGGGGCTACAGGGGCTGTGGCACCTCAGGCAGGTGTGTGGTGACCCGCAAGAAAACAAATATGGACTCGCTGGAGGAAGAGGGCAGGGTCCAGGACTTGGCTTCCTTTGTCCTATATTAGAGGTCCTGTGGCAGATTTCTGGGACAGGCCTTTGGATCACCTTTTGACCTCAGACTCAAAGTGGGGAAACTGAGGCCCAGGAGAAAGGCTTTGCTTGAATCCCATAATGCCTCCAGGCATAATGGGATTCAAGTTTGGGTAAAGCCAGAGGATGTTCAAGCCCCAGAGGTCACTACTTTTCTGAGGCCAGCTGTCCTTTCCCAAAGAAACCAGTGTGTATCCTGGAGTCACTCAGCAGTGTATGACAGGGACCGAGTGTCATGAGGACAGGCCCTAGCCTGTAACGGGGACCCCAGCTGGTGGTCCATCTTCATCTATTCCCCCCCTCTCTCCCTGGCAGGTGGACTCTTGTGAGCCTCTATTTCCCAAAGCTCACCCACAAACCTGTTGGATCCCGATGCTTCCAAAATCCCATAATTGACTGTCACCATGGTGCCCCCATAATTCCTTTATCTTCCAACTCATTTACCACTGCATCCTAATATATAGTGCAGATAAGGCAAAGGGCAAGGCAGGGGGACTTGTATTCTGGAGAGGAGATGCAGGTAGGACACCATAGGAATCAGAGCAGGAGTGGCGCCGGGTCCTTGGAAGGATCACACAGGCGCAGTTCTGGGAACTGTGTGTAGGGTAGGGCACTTTGTGTGACACCTGAGAAAGGTGACAAGCCTCCATGCAAATGAAGTGAGATGGGGAGCTTGTGGACACTCTGGGGGTACAGCATGGGCCCTGGGGCACAGCACCCCATCTGATCAGTTTCTTCCACCCCTGTGCATCCTGCAGGTGAAGCAGATCATGGAGGAGGCCGTTACCCGAAAGTTTGTGCACGAGGACAGCAGCCACATCATCTCCTTCTGTGGTGAGTGGTGGCCGCGGTGGCGGACTCAGAAGCGGAGGCAGTGGGGAGCGGCTTCCCGGATGGGGTGCAGCGGGGGAGATGGACCTGGGAGCCAGCTCTTGCCTTATGTTGAGCTTTGTGACTCTGAAGCTATTTTGGGATCCCAAAGACACTCTGCGGCAGGAAGTGGATTTGGAAATGCAGAGTCGTGGGAGAAGGGTTGAGGACGCCTCCTGTGTCCCATGGAGGGCCCAGCAGGGCTTGCCCCACACTGACTCATCCACTTGAGGCACGAGGGATGGCCTCAGCCATCTCCCTCTGGGTAGAGGATGGAGCGAATGGGAACTGTCTTAAAGGAGTGATGAGGGCTGGGGCACAATTCAGCCGGCAGGGTGCTTGGCTCAGATGCACAAAGCCCTGGATTCCACCCCCAGCAACACATAGCATGCATGGTCCCCCATGCCTGTACCCCCACACTCCAGTGGTGGGAGAAGGAGAGCCAGAAGTTTAAGGTTATTCTCAACTCCATATTGGCTCCAGGCCAGCCTGGGCTAAAGAAGACCCTGTAACAGATAGTTGGGTGTGGGGAGTTAGCAGCCACTGAGGTATCTCGAGACCCACATTTAGCAGACTGAGCCTGGAAGGTCTGAAGTGTGACTCAGACCCCACTGCAGGCCATCGCCTCAGGAGGAGCCAGGTTCCCTGCGCCTGAGGTCAGCTCCAGCTCATGATGGGGTGGCTGTTTTGAAGGGGAACCTCTTGTCTTTTCTCCTTGGAACTTTAGTAAGTGGAATGTCTCATTGGAAGTGCACAGTGGGGTCCCTTCCCATGATCATGGCCTTGTGAAGATACCCAAGCAAGGATAAGTAGCCAACCTGCCCAGTTCCATTCACATGGCTGGGGAACCACCAGTGGGACTGATTGTGTGTGGAGCAGAACCTCACCACTTTGTAGCAGGCAGACTGAGTTCAAATCCCACCTCTGCCTCTTCCTGTTGAGTGCATGTCCTGGTTTGCATTAAAATGCTATGATAAACACCAGAATCAACAGTAGCTTTTGGGAGGGTGTGTTTCTACTTACACTTCTAGGTCACAGTCCATCACAGAGGGACATTAGGGGGTTGCAGGGGGTTGCCGCCCAGAACTGAAATAACCACACAGAAACTGTATTAATTAAATCAAAAATTATTCTTGTCTATGTTAGCCACGTGGCTTGGTACCCTTTTCAGTGTGGCAGTCACATCTTGATTGCTCCGTGGCTGGGTCGTGACTGCAGAAAGAGCTTTCCTCTTCCCAGAATTCTCCTGTTCTCATCACCCTGCCTCTACTTCCTGCCTGGTTGTCCTGCCTATACTTCCTGCCTGGCTACTGGCCAATCAGCATTCTATTAAATACAATTGACAGGGTACAAACCATTGTCCCTCAGCACTTACCCCTCTTTAAAAAAAAAAAAAAACAACAAGAACTCTGAATCTAATATCCTTTGTTTAACTTTTCTCCTGACTATTATTCATAACAACTTGTAATCAACATTCCAAACAAGGGAAAATATCCATAGTCCATTTTTTTGGGAATGTGGGCATAGTTTTCCAGGCTACTTTCTGCTGGTTGGGGGTGCTGATAATCTTAGGGGGACCTAAAGAAAATTTAGAATTATGATCAAGTCATGACTGGAGTATTCTGTGAGGCTTGATCATCTCAGGCAGCAGTCTTGAATCTGTTCTGGATGCAGAACTCAGACATCTGTGTCATCTATTCCTACTGGAGATTTCTTAGGTGGTATTCCTTGATCAAACCTGATTTTTCTTAACTCAGAATGAATCCACAGCCTCCCATTTCCTGTGGAAACAAAAGCAAAACCTCTTCTCCAAATTAACATACCTTTTGACTTCAATTTTGAACTCAAGGTATTTTCAAAATACCTATCTTAGATTAATTCAGCAGCATTTATAAACAAATATCTTTTAGCAACTGTTGCTCGTTCCTCAGCATTCAAACAATTCAAACAGAACATAATAACATACAGTATGCAGATTCTCTGTGTGTTTTCCATCTTTACGTGGCTTTATTTTAACCTCTGTTTCTTTTATTTTTTCTTTTTAATTTTTTGGCTTTTTGAGACAGGGTTTCTCTGTGTATCTTTGGCTGTCCTGGAACTCGCTCTGTAGACCATGTTGGCCTTGAACTCACAGAGAACCTCTTGCCTCTGCCTCCCAAGTACTGGGATTAAAGGCGTGTGCCACCACACCCAACTACTCCTTTTCTTTCTTTTTTATTTTAAGAACTTTAACCTTTTTCTTTTCTTTCCCAAGCCTGCATATATTTTTAACACACTGTAAAACATTTAGAGGTTTTCTTCATCTTTGAATCTCTCTTTACTGTATATTTCTGGGTTTTTTTTTGATCACATGAGTCTTTAATTTGCTAAGAAATATGGCTAAGAGTAAAGCCATGACGCTGACAGCTGAATCCAGCCCATTCCTTAGTTTTCTGAGATTTCAGCCTCATGGCGGAGGTACCGGCTGGAGCCATGTCTATTGCCACAACTCTATGGCATTTCAAGGTCCCTGCCAACACCAAAAAGCATCAATACCATTGATGTGTTTCTTGGCAGGACCTCTTTAAAAGACCTGCAAGGTTTTACAGCTAAAGCTGAGTCAGGAAGCCTCTCTTAAATGAGAGTACTTGCCTCTAGCAAGCAGAGCCCACCTGAGAAAATGCTGCTATTAAGAAGCCGTGTTTAACTCTATGCTTTTATATATAGAGTAATTTCCCAAGCTCTCTCAGGCTTTTAAGTAGATTTGGTCAGTCCCATGTTGGCACACCATTCTGTTGACTGAGATTGTCCCACAGCATCAGGGTAGGAACCTGGGCACAGAAACCAAAGCAGAAGCCATGGAGGGGTGCTACTCACTGGCTTACTCCCCATGACTTGCTCAATCTGCTTTCTTATAGAACTGGTGACCACCAGCTCGCTCATAGTAAGTTGGGCCCTACAACACCTATAACTAATCAAGGAAATGCCCTATGGGCTTCCCTATAGACCAGTCTGATGGGGGCATTCTTTTAGTAGAGCTTTTTCTTCCCAGAGGACTCTAGCCTGTATCCAGTTGACAAACATCAACCCAAAGAGTGACCTTGGGCAAGTTCTCCTATTCATTTATCTTTCTTTATTTTGAGTGTGTGTGGTATATGCATGTGTTCACATGTGTTCATGTGTGTGAGCCAGAAATTGACATGGGGTACCTTCCTTAGTTGCTCTCCACCCATTTGCTTTTGGGACAGGGTCTCTTGCTGAGCCCGAATGTCTTCATTTTGGACCAACTGGCTGGCTAGCAAGGATGTCATGAGCAAAGTAGAGTGTGTCGATTTAAACATATGTGAGCACACTTGTGTATGTGTAGACTGTAATATTTTATTTATATAAAATGTATTTTTGCATTTTATATGCTTATGACAGCTTTTACTTTTTTCTGGATGTTTCTATCTGAGGATAAAATGACATGTTAAAACTTACTGACACAGCTGTCAGTTAAGCTGCAGGGGAATAAAATGCAGTTAAAGAATGTCATAGCCAGTCAGACCTGGTGGTACAGGCCTGTTATCTCAGCACTCAGAAGGCTGTGGTGAGTTGGTCCAAAAATTCCAGGCCAGTCCAGGCAGCTTCATGAGACCCTGTGTCTTAGGGATTTTTCTTTGGTGACAAAATGCCATGGAGTTCAGAGGGCGAGTCCATAGCCATCCTGGTGGGGAGTGTGGCAGTGGGCAGGCGTGGCTCTGGAGCAGTACCTGAGAGATTACACTCTCTGATCCACAAATATGAGACAGAGGGGGGCGGGGCTGACTGGGAATGGCATGGGCTTTTGAAACCTCAAAACTTGCCCTAAATCACATACCTTCTCCAACAAGCCCACATCTCCCAATCCTTCTCAAATTGTTCCACCAAATGGGGACCAGATATCCAAACATAAGAGCCTGTAAGGACATTCTCATCTAAACCGTCACACTCTGTCTCAAAGCAGAATTATAAAGGGCTCCATCCCCAGCCCCTTCCACCTAATCCCAGCATTCAGGAGACAGAGACAGAAGCAGTGGATCATTGTGAGATTAAGGCCAGCCTGATCTACATAAAGAGTTCCAGGCTAGCTATAGCCACATACTGAGATCTTGGCTTAAAAATAATGAGAAGAATATAAGACTGAAGCTATTTAGGGGTGGGAGAAACTGAAAGACATTGAATGTAGTGTAAAGGACTGTAGAAGCATTTTTTTCATTCTCTGTTCTTTGGGGAGCATTGTCAGAAAGACCTAAACAGACACATGCAAACCCCGGGGGCTGAGCGACCAATCCAGAAAGACCTAAACAGACACATGCAAACCCCAGGGGCCGAGCGACCAATCCTAGAGGACTGTACAGGTCAGCTAAAAAGCCCCATTTTATGGAAGCCCCCGGGAGCCCTGCCTGGAATGCCCATCTGCATGGACAGATAGCGCACTAACAGGCATTCCTCAAAATGAAGTGCCTGCAACACGAAACGAAGGAACCCAGTGACAAAAAAATAAGCAACAGGTAGCCAAGTCCCTAGTGTCTCTCCGTATGCGTATGTTTTGCCGAACGCCAGTTGGCTCACCATTTCAGGGTGTGCTCACTAGAGCTCTCGCTGCATGGTTTTGTTGCAGGTACATGGCAAGGTCAGTTCTAACAGTTGTTTACTACCCAGCAAGGGGGAGATCTTACTGTATATTCACTTGTCAGTGAGCACTGAGTATGCACCTAATGCATACTGGTAGAAAATAGAAAGAGGATTCCCAGGCAATGATGGTGGTTGTGTGGTGATGATGATAATTGTGGTGATAGTGGTGATGATAGTGGTGATGATGGTGATGGTGGTGATGATGGTGATGGTGGTGATGATTGTGGTGATGATGATGGTGATAGTGGTGATGATGGTGATGATGATGGTGATGGTGGTGATGATGGTGGTGATGATGGTGGTGATGATGATGGTGGTGATGATGGTGGTGATGATGGTGGTGATGATGATGGTGATGGTGATGATGGTGGTGATGATGATGGTGATAGTGGTGATGGTGGTGATGATGGTGGTGATGATTGTGGTGATGATGATGGTGATGGTGGTGATGATGGTGGTGATGATGATGGTGATAGTGGTGATGATGGTGATGATGATGATGGTGATGGTGATGGTAGTGATGATGATGGTGATGGTGATGGTGGTGATGATGGTGATGGTGGTGATGATGGTGATGGTGATGATGATGGTGATGGTGATGGTGGTGATGGTGGTGATGGTGGTGATGATGATGGTGATGGTGATGATGGTGGTGATGGTGGTGATGATGGTGATGGTGGTGATGATTGTGGTGATGATGATGGTGATAGTGGTGATGATGGTGATGATGATGGTGATGGTGGTGATGATGGTGATGGTGGTGATGATGGTGATTGTTGTAATAAGTAGCGGAGGGGCTGCATCCCCAGCACCCCGGCCGCCTGGCTAGCTTATGCCCCGAAATAATTACACGGACACTGTATTCTTTTAAACACTGCCTTGCCTCTTATTGGCTAGCTCTTACATATCGATCTAACCCATTTCTAATATCCCTGTAACACCACGAGGTGTCTTACCAGGGAAGATCTTAACCTGCGTCTGTGTCCGGTAGGCGAATCATGGCCACTCCTTGACTCAGCTTCTTTCTCCCAGCATTCTCTTCTGTTTACTCTGCCTACCTAATTTTATGTTCTATTAAAGGGCCAAGGCAGTCTCTTTATTTAACCAATGAAATTAACACAAGCCAGAAGACTCTCCCCCATCAGGTGATGGTGATGATAATTGTTGTCTCAGGGTATAGTTGCTGTGATGAAACACCATAGCCAAAAGCAGCTTTGGAAGTTTCACTTATACTTCCCTCACTGATGAAAGTCAGGACAGGAACTCAAACAGGGCAGGAGCCTGAAGGCAGGAGCTGATGAAGAGGCCATGGAGGGGAGCTACTGCTGGCTTGCTCAGCCTGCTTTCTTATAGAACCCAGGACCGCCAGCCCAGGGGTGGCCCCACCCACAGTGGCCTGGGCCTCCCACATCCATCAGTGATTAAGAAAATTCCCTACAGGCTTGTGTTCAGCCTGATCTTATGGAGACGTTTTCTCAGTTGAAGTTCCCTCTTTGCCAGTGACTACGGCTTGTGTAAAGTTGACATAAAATCTAGACAAGACAATGGTGATGATGATGATGGTGACGATAGTGTGGATGGTGCTTATACTGATGATAACCCAGACGATGGTGATAACAGTTGATGATGGTGAGGGTGAAGAAGGTAATGGCAATGGCCACGGCTGATGGACATGATGGTGGGATGGTGGCTGTGATATCAAAGATGGCGATGGTTTCTTTAACTCAGGTGAGGCTCGTCAATATCTGTCTTCTTGTCAGCAATGACGCCTGGACTCAGAAAGAGCTCTCTGTGTGGGCTCTAAGAATGTCCTGTGCACTTTGTCCTGTATCCCAACAGCACCCTGATAGATCACTGCTCACTCTGAACCCCCTTTTAAAGGGGGGGGACAAAGGCAGAAAGGGGGAAGTCATTAGTCCACAGCAGGCTGCTGGTTGACAGAGGTGAGCAGCTGTGGCCAACCTTGACCCCAACCTCTCTTGATTCCTTTGGTGCGCCTGACAAGGGCATGGACGCATTTTCTCGTGGTGTTAAGTTGCTCTTGGTGCTAAGGAGTGTGGACCGAGCTACTGATCACGTGTCCCCACAGCGGCAGTGGAGGCCTGTGTGCTGCACGGGCTGCGGCGGAGGGCTGCTGGCTTCCTGCGAAGCAACAAGATTGCCGCACTCTTCATGAAGGTGGGCAAAGGCTTCCCTCCGGCCGAGGAGCTGAGCCGCAAGGTGCAGGAACTGGAGCAGCTCATCGAAAGCGCGTGAGTGTGGCATGGGGGGCATCAGTGTGCATTGCTCCTCAGCTTGGTGAGGGCCCACACCTCCTGTCTGTCTCTCTCTCTCTCTCTCTCTCTCTCTCTCTCTCTCTTCCTGTCTGCTCCTCAGGCCCACCAGTCGCTCCTGCCCCAGAGCCTTGGCACATGCTCCGCCCACTTGTCACTCCACTCCCCCAGCTCTCTAAATCCCACCCACTTTCATCCTCTCTGTCCCATCCCCCTGTTATTTCACTCCCTGTCTTCCTGTCTGTAGTTACTCCTGCATTGCTTGTTCCCCAACCATGAGCTTGAGTCTGAGAATGTGAGAATAGGCTGCCACATCTGTGTCCCCAGCCTCTAGGCAGTGTCTAGCTCCTGGCTCATCGCACAAGATGGCTGTTGAGAGATTAAGTGCCCACTGGGAACCATGCCCCCGTTTTATTTCTCTCTGTGTGTGATGTATACACCCGTGTACATGTTCACACGTGGGCACGTGTGTGTGTGTGTGTCTGGGTGGAGACCGGAGGTTGGCATAGATGTCCTCCTTGGTCACTCTCCACCTTGTCCACTGAGGCCAGGTCTCTTACTTGAACTCAGAGCCAGATCTGCTGGCTTAGCCTATTTTGGTGACCTGCGGCAAAAGGGCTTCGTGGGAGAGGTGGGCATGTGGGAAACTGAATGGGGTTGTGTCCTGCTGGACCATGGAGCCGTGGGATGGTAATGGGTGAGGCCACGGGACCCTCTTGGCCATAGCACACAGTTATCTTCCCAAGGGCAGCAGGGTGTCTTTAAAAGAACCGAGGATCTAAGCCTCCTTGGCGATTCTTTTCTAGAAGGGGGTGAGGAGAGGAAAGAGAGGGAAGGAGAGACAGCAGAAGAGGAGAAAGGACAGGGGCTGGCATCTGGCTTCCCTGCTGGCAGAGCTTGCAGTGTTCTGCTCATTCTTGGCCACTCTCTGCCTGATGCTTTCACTCTCCCCCAACCCTACCCTCACCCCCACCCTCTACCCCCTTACTCCCACCCCATTCACACCCCTACCCTCACCCCCACCCTCACCCCCACCTTCCCATCTATGCATCAGGAGTGAGGAGGGCACTTGTTCTATGGATTCCCTCTTTCCTGATTGTGTTCTCTCCTCCTGATGGTCTCAAAGGCGAAACCAGATCCAGGGTCTGCAGGAGAATGTGCGGAAGCTGCCGAAACTGCCCAACTTGTCCCCGCTGGCCATCAAGCACCTGTGGATCCGCACTGCCCTGTTTGAGAGGGTCCTGGACAAAATAGTTCACTATCTGGTGGAAAACAGCAGGTAAGAGGCATGCTCTGTGGCCTCCTGGTGGCCATTCTGGGAACTGCACCCTTGAGAATAAAGCAGCTTTTTCTCAAGTTTGAAAAGCTTAAATAAAAGCTCCCTGGAGGTTTGACCCTGAACTACCGCAGTTTGAAACCTGGAGAGAATTCAGGTGTTGAACATCAATGTGGAAACAGGGGGTTCACATTTTGGGCAAGATGGAGGGATCTTGGATCCCATCCTTTTGCGGTTTCCTTCACTTGGTAGCTGACAGTTGACAGCTACCCTACGTCTCTGTGCCTTGGTGGTCTCTTCTGCTTAAAAGCAACTGGTGGTTTACAGCAAATATATAGAAATGAATTTAATGGGCCACAGAATGTCGAAAATACACAATGACTCTAGACACTTCCTCTCCTGACTCAGATTAATCCGGTGTAAAGGTTTTATGGTTCGGCACCCATCCTGGTAACTACAGCCACACACCATCTACCATGTGGGTTCTGGCAATCAGACCCGGGTACTCTCAAAGTGAGAACTTAACCATGCATCCCGAGAGCCTCACTTCTGACTCCTTTGCTCTCCTAAAATCCTTGGGGCTCTGTAGTGAGCAGGTGGCCCATGAACTCCAGGCCAGGCACCTTTCGTCAATTGTTTTGCTCAGCCTATGAGATGCAACTATTGTCCCCTGCAGCTGAGGTTCTGAGCTGGGCTCCTGGGGTGTGGAATCTAGTCCACCCACGTGCGCCCTCTGCTGGTCTCCATGCAGACCCGCATGTCCTTCCCTCCCACTAGTAAATACTATGAGAAGGAGGCTCTCTTGATGGACCCTGTGGACGGCCCCATCCTCGCCTCTTTGTTAGGTAAGTAGGCTCTGGGCTGCATCTGGTCCTTTGCTCTAGGGGTTCAGGGACCTGTCTCTTGCTCTAGTGGACTCTGGGGCATCCCTGGAAAGAAAGGGAATGATCTGAGGCAGTTGGGTGGGAACACTTTTGGGGACTCCAGGTTCCCAGCCCTGTGTTCTCTGCAGTGGGGCCCTGTGCCCTGGAGTATACCAAGATGAAGACCGCTGACCACTTCTGGACAGACCCCTCAGCCGATGAGCTGGTCCAGAGACACCGGATCCACAGTTCACATCTGAGACAGGACTCACCCACCAAGCGACCCGCACTCTGTGTGAGATGAGTGGGCAGTGGGAGGGCCTTGGGCAGGGCCTGGACTTGGCCTTGGGGCAGGGAATGGGGTGGGAGGCCTGAGGGCCACTCACAGGTGCGTCTCTGTCCTCTCGTGACACAGATCCAGAAGAGGCATTCGAGCGGCAGCATGGACGACCGGCCATCTGTCTCCGCCCGGGACTACGTAGAATCCCTGCATCAGAACTCTAGGGCCACCCTGCTGTACGGCAAGAACAACGTCCTGGTTCAGCCAGTGAGTTGGGTGGGCCTAGATCACGCTCTGAGGGTTTGACTACAGGCTATGGGAGAGGGAAGGTGCCTCAAGCTTTAGGCTGCCTATCTGTTTATTCATCCATTTGCCTACATATTGAATTATCTACCCACCTACCTGCCCACCTGTTCATTCATAAATTTACCAAAAACTCCATCTATGCATCTATTCATCTACCTATATAATCACCCACCCATCCAACCTCCATCTGTGTGTTGGCTTCATCTACCCAGCAGTGTCTCCATCCATACATCCACCCATCCATCCATCCACCTATCTATCTATCTATCTATCTATCTATCATTCATGCATCCAACCTTCCATCCATCCACCTATCTATCTATCCATCTATCTATCTATCATCTATCTATCTATCTATCTATCTATTCATCCATCCATCATGCATCCAACCTTCCATCCATTCACTTATCCATCCATCCAGTCACTCAAAAATTTCTATTCCTCCATTTGCCAGTACCCACCGACCTACATACCGTATCCATATATTTGCTTGTCCATCCATCTACCTAGTCATCATCTCTCTATCCAGCCTCCCACTTGTTCATTCATCCCTTTGTCAATCCATCTGCCAGCAAGCGATCGTCCTCCATTCACTCCCCTGTATCCATCTGGCTGAGTACCCATCCATATCTTCGTCTATTTCTTATACATACATATATACATGCATAATCTAGGCATCCGCACATCTCTATATAAGTACAAGTGGCCATATTTCTAGCTAGCTGCCCTGCCAGCAGCTCTTCCGTTTTCTACACCTCCCGCCACCAATTGTTAATCTTTCTACCCACCTACCGGCTTGTCCACTTAGTCTGTCCAAACATCCCTGTCCACCAGGCCATCTGCCTGGCTGTGCGCTCTTGCTGTCGCTCAGCAAACAGCGTGGCAGAGGTGTGGTACTGAGACGGTGGACCTTTCTGTCACTGACATCTGGCCAGTGCTCACTGTGAAGGGCCTCATGCTGCACTAACATAGAGATGACAACATTGAAGCCCACACAAGGGGCAGCATTTTGATTTGCTCTCACACTGATTTGCTTCAGTGAATTGGTTGCCTTCTGTGCTCCAACAGCTGCCTGGGCACAAGGGCAGAGCATGAAGCATGAGCAGCCCCTGCCCTGAGGCAGTGTTCCTCGCTGTCCTCAGGGTCTCTGGGTTACAATCAGTGTGGTATTTGGGCCCAGCTGGAAGAAAGCAGGAAGAGGCCCCACAGCCTCAACCGCTGGGTGACCCTGGGCAGGTCATTCCACCGTGTGGCCTGTCATATCTGCATCACACTGGGTGCAAGGTCCAAGTTTCTCAGACAAAGAAGTCGTGAGTTTAAGATGCAGCTGGATTTCAAGTGACCAACAAGAAGCTTCTGTTGCTAAGGACTGGGTACTGCTCAGAGGTAGAGGGCTTAGTGGGCCCAAGGTACCATCCACATCAGAGCGGGAGAAGAGAAAAGGAGGGAGGGAGGGAGGAAGGGAGGGAGGGAGGGAGGGAGGGAGAGAGGAAGGGAGGAAGGGAGAGAGGAGGAGAGAAAGAATACGAGTCATCCAGATATTGAAACACGACCATGCCAGGCTCTGGTGGCAGAGACAAGTGGTTGTCATGATCTATATATGGCTCCCAAAGCCTTAAACATTTCCTGTCAGTCTCTCAATACAAAAAAAATGGTGACCTCTCACCCAGAAGTTCCGATAAGCATAGGGTGAATGCTGTCATCTCCAGTCTGAAGGCCCATGGACCACGCTGTCCCTGCCTTCCAAGGAGATCTGGGGCTGGGTGACCTGGGGAGATGAAAAATGGACTGTCACCCTGTTCTCAAGGCCACGTCACAACAGCTGACTCACAGGCTCCTCTGTCAGGAGGTGCTTAAAACGGACTCATATGTCCTCCCTGCAAAACAACAGCTCTGCCAAGCTCAACGGAGGAGTGATTGACAGAGATGAGACAGCCTGCGTGTGATCACGCAACAACAGCCACTTCACAGCTGTGAGATGCCACAGGAAGTCAGATGTGTCCCAAATCGGGGGCAGATAAGACTGTGACTCAGGAGTGGAGGGCTCCTTCCCAGGAGAGAGATGGGAGCATTTTCTTGTCCACCCTCTAACTTGGAGTGATGGGAAGTGGGTGAGAGAGCCCATGGGCAGATTCTGGGTAGGTGGAAGATTGGGCTGCGGGGTGGAAGTACAGAGGAATGCTAGGAGGAAGGTTTTCTGGGTGACACCTATGGGGTGCGATATAGGTTACCTGCCCTTTCTTTACCCCCAAAGACTGGCCTAGATCCAGGCCTCTGTAAAGGGGGCGATGTTGGAGCCGCAGCCTCCTTTACTGGGACCGGAGGAACCTTGGGGTGGAGACAGTCTCAAGAGGGAGACATGGGGGCACGTGCTGGGGCAAGCAGCTTTCGCAGCTGGACTCTGCCAAGCTCACCCTGGATGCTCGGCTGCAGGTGGCTTTGCTCAGCACAGCACCGGGAAGGGTGCCAAGTGGCTTCCAAGTGGTGGCAACCAACAGCTCAGCTCTTGGGTTCTGCTTCTGTGTCCAGCAACATGACCTGGCCTGAGTTCTCCTCTCCTCTCTGCAGAGGGATGACATGGAAGCCGTGCCAGGGTACCTGTCCCTGCACCAGACGGCTGATGTCATGACCTTGAAGTGGACACCCAACCAGCTGATGAATGGGTCTGTGGGGGACCTGGACTATGAGAAGAGGTAAGAGAACTTCAGATGAGTCCTCTTCACTCCCCTAAGCACAAGGATGCTCTCTTCTCAGCGGAGGATGGCCCTGCCTGCCATTCTACCTGGTTGGCATGGTTACCTACTAGCCTCCTTGCTGCTGTGGCCTCAAAAAGAACACCAGCCTTGGAAGCACCCAGAGACAGAGTGGCAGAGCCTGGGTGGGGTTGGGGGTGGGGTAGGCATGGTCGGCCATCACATCCATACATCTGCTCTCCAGGGCCAGTGAGGTGGTGCAGGGAGCAAAGGTGCCTTCCACCAAGCCTGACAACCTGAGCTCTATCCCTGGGACCCATCTGGTAGAAGGAGAGAAGTGACCTCTGACCTCTACTCATTCAACATGATGTGCACTCCCCCCACATTAATTAATTGATTAATTAATTTTTAAATGCAATTTAAAGAATTCATAAATATGCTTCCCCGACCTATCAAAGTGTAAGGATAGCAAATCTAGAGACTGCAAATGACACCTTAGCCAAGCTGTAAGGACATGTCAGACTGAATCAGGAACTGCACCCCCACAGCCAAGTGGCCTTGAGCCATCTCCACACCCCCAGCCCCAGTTTCCTCACCTGCACTGCAGGGTGTGCATACACATGTAGGGGGACCGATAAATCCAAAGGGCACTGTAGTTGCTGACCACCATCGAGGATGTCTGCTCCCTGGCCGTTGGCGTGGCCAGCTGGTGGCCCAGGGTAGGAAGGCCTGGAATGAGATTCTGCTCTGACTGCAACTGAGAGGCAGAGGAGTGGAGAGGTGGGTCATAAAAGGTGTCAGAAGTAGAATACAGCCACTGGCTTGGTACCTGTGCTAGTCTGGGTCCTCCCGAGCAGATGCCATGAGAGGATCTCTGAAAAAGAGATGTCCTTGGGGAAGCTGAGGGCAGAAGCAGGGGTTGAAAGGAAAAGACTGCCATGCATGGTGACAGGAGAGAAGAAAGACAGTCACACAGGGAGAGAATCCTCCCGGCTGTCTAGGGGAGTCTGGGCTAGAGGGCTCTGTAACGGGGCCTCCTCTTTCCCCAGGATGGGTCTTGATCATGCCCATGTGCTTACATGGCAGCTTGGTAAAACCATGTCGATCTGGGAGTGGCTTCGCTACCAGGGAGCGCTGAGCTCTGCTCTCTGGTCCGGAGTTTCTGAGTAGTTGCGTTCCTAGGCTCCCACAGAGCCCACATTCCCAGGTGCCCCCTCCCAAGGTGTTCTGATGGGGAAAATCATTTTAGAAGCATGGTGGGTTCTAAGCTAGAAGTGCATGCTTCAGTCAGTACTCAGAGTGACCCTGCCCAAAGCATTGTGCTGTGAGCTGACTATATGGGGGGCTCTGGGTTGAGTCCTTCAAATGAAGGTTCTCTTGAATCCCCAGAGAAACACTACAGTAGGGATCTTATTGGATCCTCCATTTTATAGTCCAGGAAACTGAGGCTTAGATTAACCCTCAAGTCATACTACCTACCCACGTAAGGTCAGAGTTGGGAGTGGCCATTCTAACTTCTGCCTGTGGTGACATGGTGGCCTGGAGGGAAGGCTCTGGGCTAGTATAGCTACCTAACTTCCAGGTACAAAAATGTCAAGTCCAAGCTAACTGGAGCATTTGTCCAATGATCCAAGGAGTCCAAGAGCAGGAGACCGCAGGCTGGACCCAGGGACCTGAATGACCATGCCGGGACTCATCCTGTCTTTGCTTTCCTGACCTTCCATGCATGGTCTGAACATCCCTGGGCAGCAAGGAGCTCTTCCTGGGCTGTCTAGGCATAAATAGGAAGGATCGTTCCCGCCACTGATGTGCTTGAGTAGTGGTGCCAATCATGTATTAATCACTGTGACTGCTCAGTGCTGATTGGCCAGCCTGGGTCAGGTGATCATCCCAGAGTCCCAGGGTAGACCATGTAGCTAAGGAGGAGGGATTCTTCAGAAAGTTGAGGTACTGAGACCAAAAGAAGGGGAGGATGGCTGGATAGTCTGGGGACACAGATACTGGGACAAGTGGGTCTTGGTGAAGGCAGAGGTGCCCCTGCCTTGGTCTTCTGGTCTCCTGCAGTCTCCCCCACTTTCCCTTTCCAGCGTCTACTGGGACTACGCCGTGACCATCCGCTTAGAGGAGATTGTTTACCTTCACTGTCACCAGCAAGGTAGGGACCGCAAGACAGCAGTGGCTAGGGGTCCACCGTGGGTCCCTGTCCCTCCTCACCACCTCACCTCACTGCCACAGCAAGGTAGGGACAGCGGGTGGCTAGGCATCCACCGTGGGTCCCTGTCCCTCCTCACCACCTCATCTCACTGCCACAGCAAGGTAGGGACCGCAGGGACAGCGGGTGGCTAGGTGTCCACCGTGGGTCCCTGTCCCTCCTCACCACCTCACCTCACTGCCACAGCAAGGTAGGGACAGCGGGTGGCTAGGCGTCCATTGTGGGTCCCTGTCCCTCCTCACCACCTTACCCTGTTCCTTTATTTAGCATCACAGAACACTTGTGTGTCTCCTCAAGCAAATGGCTTTACCTTCTTGAGTGTGCTGCTCTGAGTCATTGTAACCACTTAGTGACAAGGTGGCCTCATGCAGTCACATACAAAGTGACACGGACTGTTGACTCTGGAGACAGGACTTAAACCCATATCTTTCTGAGTCCAAGATCAGTGGTATGCAGACCTGAGATCAATAACCCGAACATTCCATTAAAACTGGAAGAAGGTACACTTAGAACAAACAGGGTGCGCTGTGTCTCATCTAGGTATGGAACTCAATGGTTTAATCCCCTTTACGAAGGCAGACTCAGATACTGTCCAGGCTTTGCAACTTACCAGCTGTGTGACCTTGGGGATGATACAAAACCTATCTAAGCTTTAGTTTTGTCCCTTGTGAAATAGGTGATCATAGCTGAGCCTTGCGGGGATATTCTGGGGGTTACAGTAAGACAGAATTTTTAATACAGTGTTGGTATGCATTAGGTGTCAAGTACATGTTCTTAGCAGTCACCTACACCTCAGAGCCTCAGAGTGGCTCTCCTGACCTGGTTGGTCTTGGGGGTGGATGCATGTGTTGGTACTGCACCATGCTTCACAGTGACACCTGCCGTTCTCTCTTATCTGGCGATGGTGGTGGCAGTGGACAGCGGTGGGACTGTCGTGCTGGTGAGCCAGGATGGAATCCAGAGGCCGCCCTTCCGCTTCCCCAAGGGTGGGCACCTGTTACAGTTCCTCTCCTGCCTGGAGAATGGATTGCTTCCACATGGGCAGCTGGACCCACCACTTTGGTCACAGCGAGGAAAGGTGAGGTGTGGGGGCCTTGAGAAGGCGGAGGAGATGCCAGCCATGGGGTGTCACTGGGCTCCACTGTGAGACCCGCAGTGTTGCTGGCGTGGGGACAGATGGCTCTGAAGTCTGCCCTGGAATGTGTTCCTGTAGGGGAAGGTATTTCCTAAGCTGCGCAAACGGAGCCCGCAGGGGTCCTCGGAGTCCACATCATCAGATAAAGAGGATGATGAAGCCACAGATTACGTGTTCCGCATCATCTACCCTGGCATGCAGTCCGAATTTGGTAAGCAGCCCTCGGCCCTGCACTCACTGGCTCCTCCTGAGATCTACTCCAAAAGTTACAAGTCGTGGGCTGGGGCCAGCAATGGGAGCTCAAAGCCATAAGTGTCCCAGTGCCTCCCACCTCCCCCGAAATGAGAACCAACAGCACCCACTGGGCAGGAGGTGACACTAATAGTGATGGTGCTGTGGGCTCTGGAAGCCTGGCGTGACGTGGTCAGGTTTCTTCTCATCCCCTCCCCGGCCTTCTTTTTCCTTGTCTGTGAAATGGGCTGTCTGTTGCAGGCATCCGGCACACACTGAACAGATGCACACTAGCCTCTGTGTGACCTTCTTACCAGTATCTCACTGCGAGTTACAAGGAGCCAATGCAAGCACAAAGATCTGAGTTCAAATATCTAATAAAAAGCCAAGCTTGACTACAAATGTCCATAACCCCAACTTTGGAGGATGGAGCTAGGCAAACCCCATGCGTTCCCTGGGTAATCAGCACAGCCAAAATTGCAAGCCTTCAAGTTGTAAGAGACCCTAAGTGGAATAAAGTAACAAGGAATAGAGAAAAACCTCCAGATCTTGCTCTGACCTCTGCAAGCAAGCATAATTGTGCATGCAGCACTTAAGTGCATACACGCGTGTATCCACACACATGTGAAGTGGGCATGGTATAATGGCAGGCACTTGCTACCCAGTGCTAGGGAGTCAGAGTCAGGTGGTTCCCTGGGTCTTACTAGCCAGCCAGCTTATTCTACTTGCCAAGTTCCAGGCCAGTGAGAGACTGTCTCAAAAGCCAAAATACATACATGGTATTGGAGAACAACCCTTGAGACTGACCTCTGGCCTCCACAAGCATTGCACAAACATGCACTGATATTCACACATACGTGTGCACCTGTTCAAACATACATGTGCATGCACATGTGCGCACGCGCGCGCGCACACACATACACACACACACACACACACACACACACAAGCCTGGATTGAGCCAGGTGTGATGGAGCATGCTGTAATCCAACACTCAGGAGTCTGAAGCAGGAGGAATGTGAGTTGAGGCTGGCCGGGGCTGCCAGGCAGTGCATGTCTCAAAGAGAAACAGGCCCTAGCTCTCCCCATTACTGCTGTTATTGCCACTGTTAGGAATCTCTGTTATTTCTGAAACACGGGTCACCAAGGATAAATGGCAAACCTGATCTAGTGCCTGGCACTGAGTGGGCAGTTTATAAATGTCCTGTGTTTTCTTCTCTAATCCACACAATATATGTGGAACAGAACAGGGGAGGGTTAGAGCCCAGGGGAGCTGGTTTCTCTCGTGGTCTCTGTCCCGCCCACCAGCTCTCCCTCCTCACTGGTTCTTTTTGTTTTCTTTTTTTTTTTTTTTTTTTTTTTTTTTTAAATATTTATTTATTTATTATGTATACAATATTCTGTCTGTATGCCTGAAAGCCAGAAGAGGGCGCCAGACCTCTTTACAGATGGTTGTGAGCCACCATGTGGTTGCTGGGAATTGAACTCAGGACCTTTGGAAGAGCAGGCAATGCTCTTAACCACTGAGCCATCTCTGTCTCAAGTTACCCTTGATCTTTTGGGCGGCCCTCGACCCGTGTCCGTTGGTCCTGCCTGGATGATGCTTGCTGCTGGCCAGTCTGTTCTGGTGGTGGCCAGGGGGATCCAGTGGGGACAAACCAGAGGGTACCTCACCATCCCCACACCGAGTGTGAAGGAGCAGCCCCCCAGTAATGTCTGGTTCCAGGTCCCCTCCTCCCGGGCTGGGTGCCGCTTCAGCCATGTCATCATTTGAGTCTGTTCCCAAGGAAAATGGAAAAAATAAACAAACAAGCAGTCTCGTGCCTCAGTCCCCACCCTGCAGAAGGTAGCCGTTAGGTTCCGTGACTCGCAGGTGCTGACTGCATGATGTGAGTGCTGGAGGCACAATTGCTGCCCTGTGCCTCCCTGGGTCAGCCTGAGAACCTGGGTGTTTTCTGGCCAGCTCAGTGGTGAGTCTGTGAGGAGAGAGGGGAGCCGCACACCGTTGGTGGGTGCGAGAGCCTCACTCTGTAGCCAGCATGCTTCTCTGTTGTGTGGGTCAGCATGGCCCAGTCAGCTGCAGAGCTCTGGTAACAAGGAGAGGGTACAAGAGTCTGAGTCTTTCCCCCTCTCTGAGCTTAGGGAAAGAACCTAGGTGAGAGCAGTTGTCCTAAGAGGCCATAGCAGGTAAGAGGATGAGCACACATCTTGTGTCCTAGAGCAGGGCTCCCCAACCCGTGCCCAGGGGCCAGATCCAGCCCCTTCTGTACAGCCCAAGAGCTGGGCATGGTTTTATGTCCTTGACTGGAAAACAACAACAACAACAACAACAAAACAAAACAAAAAAAAAAAAAACAGGCCTTGGGCCAACAAGACGACTCAGCTAGTAAAGGCCACCGTGCCTGAAGCCCCAGAATCTACATCTGGAAGATGTGGAAGGAAAGAACCTATAACCACAAGTTGGGTGCATTTGAGGATTTTGTCTCCAGGATATCGGGGGTACTAGATGGGCATATGGCTTTTTAAGGAGCCCCCCTCCTTACCTGAGTCACCTGGTGAAGGTGATTTCTAGTTTAGGAGTGTGAACAGCGCTACCCCCACCCGGGCCCTGGGGACTCCGCTTATATTTTGAAATTTGTTCCTTCCCTTCTGGCCACACAAGCTCCTTTAGAGGCAGAGGAACTCAGGAGCACCCAGTAGGCTCCCCTTCCCTCATGCCACCTTCCTGTGAGCAGAACTGAATGAGGGCATGGCAAGGTGGGGTTGTCTGCAGGCTTCCGGGCTCTGGTTGCCTCCTCTCTACTTCCGCCTTCGGCTGCTCTCCACTCTGCTCTGCAGCCGGAGTCTCTGAAGCTTGGTGGTGCTTTTCACTGGATCAGGCGGGCTCGGGGACTCCATCAGATTGTGGTTGGGCACATTTGGGACAGTCACACTCCTGTCTTCTCTGCCCCTGAGCCAGCTTTGAGGGAGCTACTTGCCTTGGGGTCAAGTTTCTGTAATCCGTGTTGGTTTAACCAAGGTTATTGCCGGGCCCCCTTTCCACTCACTACCCACCACAGTGCCTCAGGACCTGATGGATGTCTCTGTGAACAATCTTCCATCCCTGTGGCAACCCAGTCCTCGGAAGTCCTCCTGCTCTTCCTGTTCACAAAGCGGCTCTGCTGATGGCGGCTCATCCAATGGCTGCAACCATGAGAGGTATGTGGGGCTCAGGCTGCACATGGAGGTGCTTGAAGCACTGACCTAAGGCCTGTGGCTCTCTATCTCTTGCCTTGGCCTAAATTTTGGGAGGTGTGAACGTGGTCTGTGGATCCCCAAGGTTTAAATCGTAGCCATGTGTAGTTGTAGTCACGGGAATTCCCTCCCATGTTGTCAGCCAGGGTAATTTTCTGCTGCAGTAACAAAGAGCCCTAAAACATCAATGGCTTTTTACAGTAAATGCTGACATGTCCCAAATGCTATGACTGCCATGGCTCTGCTTTCTAATGGACATCAACTTGGATGTCACTAGTCACAGTGTCAGAGGCAATGGTATTTCTGTTTCAACTCAGTGGCCCCACTCACAGGGAGGCCAAGAAATACAGGCCAAGCATACACTAGGAGCCAGAAATATTATTTAAGGATGGTCATTGTTTTGTGTGCTCCTCCATGAAACATTAACTTAGTAGGGTTATTAGAAGGAACTAGTAAGTAGTCACCATGGACCATTGAGCAATGCTACTTTTCCCAGTGCCTGCTCTCAGAACGTCTGACTTACATACCTGTATCCTGAGGAGCTCGCTTCTTTGCAGAGTATGAACCACCCTGAGGAACTGCTCACTGTATGCACCTTGAGCAAGACCAAGTCTCACATCCTGAGGGTGGGAAGAGGGACTCCCTCCATGTAAATACCCAGGACTTCAGCCATGCTCCCTTGCCAGCAGGCTTCCTGGGTCTGTCTGCATCCCTGGGATAGCTTCAGGATAGATGCATAAGGATTCTTCCATTTTGTCCACTGTGTGAGCACACAGCCCTCCTCAGCCCCCATCTCCCCAGCCATGCTAGGCTGTGTTCTTCTCTTTTCACTCCAAACACCCTCAGGAGCTCTGTGCAGAGAGCAGTGACTCTGAGCCCTGCCTCCTGTGCAGTCCACGGGCCAAATCCATGGGCCACTTTACAGCAGATCACTTCACACTGATTCAAGAGGAAAAAAGAAGTGTGTGTGTTGGAGTAGTTGTGTGATCCCAGCACCCAGGAGGCTGAGGCAGGAGGATTGTGGGTTCCAAGCCAGCCTGGGTTATATCATGAGATCCTGTCTCAAAAAAATCAAGAAAAAAAATAGAAAAGAAAGAGAATGTACTAGCATGATTGAGAGGGTCAGGAACACAGCAGCTCTGGACCTGGCTGGCCCCAGATGCTCAGAATGGGAACAGCTCTGGGGTCTTCAGATATGAATGGGTAAGCCTTTAAGGTGGTCTGTTCTTGTTGTCTTCAGATGGGGGTAAGTGAGCCTTTAAGGTGGTCTGTTCTTGTTGTCTTCAGATGGGGGTGAGTGAGCCTTTAAGGTGGTCTGTTCTCAGGGTCTTCAGATGGGGGTAAGTGAGCCTTTAAGATGGTCTGTTCTTGTTGTCTTCAGATAGGGGTGAGTGAACCTTTAAGGTGGTCTATTCTCAGGGTCTTCAGATGGGGGTAAGTGAGCCTTTAAGGTGGTCTGTTCTTGTTGTCTTCAGATGGGGGTGAGTGAGCCTTTAAGGTGGTCTGTTCTTGTTGTCTTCAGATGGGGGTGAGTGAGCCTTTAAGGTGATCTGTTCTTGTCTTCAGATGGGGGTGAGTGAGCCTTTAAGGTGGTCTGTTCTTGTTGTCTTCAGATGGGGGTGAGTGAGCCTTTAAGGTGGTCTGTTCTTGTTGTCTTCAGATGGGGGTGAGTGAGCCTTTAAGGTGGTCTGTTCTTGTTGTTTTCAGATGGGGGTGAGTGAGCCTTTAAGGTGGTCTGTTCTTGTTGTTTTCAGATGGGGGTGAGTGAGCCTTTAAGGTGGTCTGTTCTTGTTGTTTTCAGATGGGGGTGAGTGAACCTTTAAGATGGTCTGTTCTTGTTGTCTTCAGATGGGGGTAAGTGAACCTTTAAGGTGGTCTGTTCTTGGGCTGGCATTCCTGGTGATGGCCAAGAAGACTTCCAGCAACCACTGCTATGTATCCCTCTGGCTTAGAAACTACCTAGAAGATAGTGTGTGTTTCTAGGTAGATGCAGCAAAAATCCCAAGGCTGATTCTCATTGGCCTGGGTTGGGTCACATGACCACTTCTCAGCCAGGGTCATATGCTGGGTGATTATCCACCTGAATCCAAGCCACAGAGGCACACTGCAGGGGCGACTTCCCCAGGGAAGCCTGGGGGCTTGTGAGTGGGAGCCACAGCAGTCTCTCTCCACCCTGACAGTGACTTTGATCTCTGGGTGGATAGTGATGGTTCTTCTGCAGCACAGCTGAGCAGTGTGTGGCCCTCTGTCCCCTCTCCCCCCACAGGGCTCCACTGAAGCTGCTCTGTGATAACATGAAGTACCAGATCCTTTCCAGGGCTTTCTACGGATGTGAGTACTGGGCTCAGCTACTGCTGTGGTCTTCAGCAAGCACTGACTGAGGGCCTCGTATGCCAGGCAGAGTGGATGAGGGTGCCCAGGCAGGGTGATCCTGAGGAGACAGGACCATCTTGGACAGCAGGCAGAGCACTCCGCATCTTCCAGGCTCCCTTTTCCACCCAGCAGTGACTCTGTTTGCATCTGGCCTTTGTTCTTCCTATACGAATGGGAGGCAGGCCCAGAGTGAGCCTTGAAGTCCTTGGTTCCCCTGCCTTCCTGTCCCTTCTCTGCCCACTGCACATCTGTGAATTGCTTTAACTTTCAGCAGAGGAGGGTGGTGTCCAACTAAATACAAAAGCATCCCCACGGTTTAACAGTCAAGCCACCAGTGATAGCATGCTCAACTTGCTTTCTTTGTCTAGAAGGGGGATGGTGAGAATTATCTGGGTTGGGAGGGCCCTGAAGATGGGAGTGGGTAACAGGACAGCCACATGGAGCATGCATGAGAGACTGGGTGAAGCGTGTTGGGTAAAAGATAACATCTGCCTTCCCTCCTGGGCCAGGGCTCGCCTACTGCAGACACCTGTCTACCGTGAGGACCCACCTGTCGGCCCTGGTCAATCACATGATTGTGTCTCCAGACCTGCCCTGTGATGCTGGGCAAGGGTTGACCGCCAGCATCTGGGAGCAGTACATCCAGGACAGCACGGTGAGCTGGGCAGGGTTCGTGCACCAGAGGGCAGTGGAGCAAGGCCATCTTGCCAGTTCAGACTAAGGGGCCCAGGTAGTCGTGCCTGTCTGACATGGACTGTCAAGTCCCAAGACCCACAGCTAACATGAACCCCATCCGGATGAAACTAAGGGAGGTCAGAAAACATTCATAGGTACAGCTTACCAATCCCAAACCCCATCCAGAATGTTCTAAAATGGAAGCTCTGAGCACTGACATGAAACTTAATGGAAAATCCCACACCTGACCTCACATGACAGGTCACAAACATACCACCCACTAAAAATACTGTATAAAATGACACACAGACCATGAGTCTAGGTGTATGTTAAACGTATGGATTTTGTGTTTAGACGTGGCCCATCCCTATAGATGTCTCAGTATATGTGTGTATACACACACACACACACATGCAAATATTCAAACATCCAAGAAAATCTGAAGTGTAAAACCCTTCAGGACGCAAGTATTAGGGACTGGGATGTTCAACCTAGAAGAGAAGAAAAGGAAACAGTTGGACTGGGCAGGGTGGTTCACAGCTGTCACTGCAGCCCTCATAAAGCTGAGGCAGGGGGATTGTGAGTTTGATGCCAGTCTCGGCCTCTTTGTGAGTTCTGGGTTCGCCTGAGTTCATAGCATAATGTTTGAGTAAGTTCATGGTTATGTGTTGAATGAATTCATAGCTGCTTTGGGGCACATGTGGGCCTTGGGTGGTGACCTCTACACCTGCTCCAACACTGTCTGTCTGTCTCAGGTTGCCCTGGGCACCTGCTCCAACACTGTCTGCCTGCCTGTCTGTCTGTCTGTCTGTCTCAGGCTGCCCTGGGTACCTGCTCCAACACTTTCTGTCTGTCACAGGCTGCCCTGGGCACCTGCTCCAACACTGTATGTCTGTCTGTCTGTCTGTCTCAGGCTGCCCTGGGCACCTGCTCCAACACTGTCTGTCTGTGGCTCCAACACTGTTTGTCTGTCTCGGGCTGCCCTGAGCACCTGCTCCAACACTTTCTGTCTGTCACAGGCTGCCCTGGGCACCTGCTCCAACACTGTATGTCTGTCTGTCTGTCTGTCTCAGGCTGCCCTGAGCACCTGCTCCAACACTGTCTGTCTCTCTCAGGCTACCCTGGGTACCTGCTCCAACACTGTCTGTCTGTCTGTCTGTCTCAGGCTGCCCTGGACACCTGCTCCAGTGCTGTCCATCTGTGCCTGTGCCTTTGTTTCTTTACCTACAGTTACAAAGTCATGTGGAAATGCAGCCGGTGTCTGGGTTTCCCTTCTCATAGCTAACATAAATACCCTGACACGAGCAAGTTAAAGGTGTAAGGGTTGATCTTCACTACAGTTCCACATCTGTTCCACTTTTGTGGGGAGGTCGAGGCTACAGGATCAAGAGGCAGCTGTTCCTGTCTCATCCACTGGCAAGAAACAGAAAGGTGACTGCAGGCAGCTCCGTTTGCACAGTTAGGGTCCCCAGCCTAGGGAATGAATATAGGTCTTCCCACACTGGTTAACATAATCAAGCTAATCCCCCAGAGGCATGACCAGAGCCCAGAGGGGCTCATCTCCCAGGTAATACTATTCTCTGTCAAGTTGGCAATCGGAACTAGCCACAGCACTACATAGAGATCCTGGAGCTGACCCACAGATGTGTATGCACGCACAGAGCTGATCCACAGAACACTTTACAACATACAAGTCAAAGCCAGGCATGGTGCCACACACCTTTAATCACTCGAGAGGCAGAGGCAGGTGGATCTCTGTGAGTTAAAGTCCAGCCTGGTCTACAAAGCGAGCTCTAGCACAGTCAGGGCTACATAGTAAGACCTGTATCAAATAAACAAACAAAAAGACATATAAGTCATATACAGTAATATAGTTTATCAGGATTTTTTAATATAATTTGTAAAGATACATTTATGCCTAACTGCATATTATTCAGCTCTTATATATTTCTGTATTTATTATATATACATAGACTTTCAAAAGTTATCTATCATCCTATCTTTGATCTCTCATCTATAGCTATAGAGTTATAGAAATGTATATATAATATTGCAATATTTAGCTAGCCATAGCTTAATATTTATACCTAACCTTATTCTATATTTTTAAAATTTTTTAAGTATTTATTTTATTTTGTATGTGGGGGGCATGCAGATGCCACCGTGTGCACGTGGAGGTCGGCAGACAACAGCTTGCAGATGCCAGCTTTCTCCTCCCACCATGTTGAAACCAGGTTGCTGTGGTAGCAAGTGCCTCTACACGCTGAGCCATCTCTTGGCCTCTAGATGGGCGGCGTCTTCTATACCTTGTTAGCGTTCTGTTTGCAGTTCAGTGAGCAGCTCTGCTTTCAGATCCACCTTCCAGATCTCAAAGAAATAGTGAGCCAGAACTTAGTACTTTGTGTTTGTGGATGGCTCACAGTTTATTTAAATTCCTGCTGACAGGAATTCTCTCTCTCTCTCTCTCTCTCTCTCCCTCTCTCACCCTCTCTCTCCCTCTTCCTCCCTTTTTCTTCTCATTTGTTGTTGCCTGGGTTGGGGGGTGGGGTGGGAATCTCACTAGATAGCCCAGGCTGGCCTTGAATTCACACACACACACCTCACATCAGTCTCCATAGTGTTGGGGTTGGATTTGCAGACCTGCCCCAGGCCTGGCTTTCTTCCCACTTGTTTTAAAGACTCTTGTCCAGTGGTACAGGAGCAGTGGCAGAAGCACTTGGCACATGCCTGTCTACGGCTGGCATTTTGATTTTGAGGATGGGTTCCTAGAAGTAGATTGCTGTGTATTAAAACGTGAAACAGATAAGCCAGAGTACTCTCGCAACCTCCCACGGCCACAGTGTGAGCATGCTGGTTCCTGCGGAGCTGCAGAACTGACTGGCTTCTACACTCAGCTTCAGCTTGGCAGAGCCTGCATCTCCGGGAGAGGAGCCCACGCCTGTGTTTCTAAAGTCCCTGGAGTGCTTCTGTGATCCAATTTGGGAGACACCAGTTTAAGGTCAAATTGGATGAAACAATAGATGAGCCAGAGAGTCTCCAGTACTTCCTACTCCCTCCTGCTGCCTGACCCTTTCTCAAGCTTTAACCACCTTCGTGTGCTGGGTACATTGAGTCTCAGGAACAAACAGTACCTGCTTTCTTGTTGCCAGGCAACACTGGGCTTATTTCTCACTGAACAGCCCTGGGAGCGGTATCAATGGGTGCACATCTTTTTTTACCTGGGAGACTCGTGAACCTGCCATTCCCTGGCACTCAGTGTCTCTTGGGAAGCCTGTGGGAACCCACCAACTTCCCTCCCTTCCTGCCCAGTCCTGCAAATAGCTTCCATTACTTCCCCTCATACCCATTGGCCAGAAACTGTCCTATGACCCCACCGAGTTACATAGGAGGCTGGGAAATGGAGTCTAGTGGATACAGGAGCCCAGAAACTGGATTTTCTGTTTTTATTGTCATCTCTTCTCGTTGTAGCAAACAATTGCAGTTATGGCATTTGCAAGCAATGGAAACCAAGACCATGAATAAAGCAATAAGTGTTAAAATTTAGCATAGCATAGTATTACAGAGGTCTAGGGGCTGGAGAGATGGCTTAGTGGTTAGGAGCACTGGTTTTGTTGGAGGATACCTGAGTTTGGTTCCCAGCACTCACAGCAGGCAGCTCACAGTGGCCTGTGACTCCAGTTCCCTGAGGGCACCAGGCATGCGTATAATGCACATAACCTCATGCAGGTACTCACACATACACTTAAAATACATACATACAAAGGTCCAGGTTGTTTTTTTAACCTATAAAGTAAAATGAAGAAAGATGTAAAAGTCAATAACTTAACCTTCTATCTTAATGCTTGAGGGGGACAGCAAACTGAACCTGAAGCAAACAGAAGACAGGAGGAAGGATGAACAGTGATCAAAGCAGAATCAGATCAAAGAGAGGAGAACAGAGATAAGAAATATCAATAAAAGTGCCTCTCAGGAAAGACCAGTGAAGCTGGGAAGCACTTTCTTAATCAGAACCACAAGGGTGTGTGTAGGGCACATAGATGACCACAATCAGAAGTCAAAGAGGAGACATCACTATAGACACTACAGGCAAAGGAATGGAAGATAACACACAAATACTATGAAAATGTATGTACCAACAAACTAACAACACAACTCGCAAACTCCTAGAGATACAACTACTGAAATTTCCTCACAAGGAAATGATAAGCCTAGAGATGAGTGATTTTATAACTCTTATAAAGTAGCCGGGTCGTCATGGCACATGCCTTTAATCCCAGCACTCAGGAGGCAGAGGCAGGTGGATCTCTGTAAATTCGAGGCCAGTCTGGTCTACAGAGCGAGTTCCAGGATAGACGCCAAGGCTACAGAGAAACCCTATTTCAAAAAACCAAGAAAACAGAAAAGTGAGGGGGCTAGAGAGATGGCTCAGCCGTTGAAAGCACTGGGTGCTCTTCCAGAGGTCTTGAGTTCGATTCCCAGTGCCCACGTGGCAGCTCACAACCATCTGACTCCAGCTCCGGGGACCCCAGGCCCTCTTCTGGCCTCTGCAGGCATTGCATGCACATTGTGCACTTGTATTATTCAGTCAAAACACTACTGTACATAAAATAAAAAAAAAAGGAATAAAAAAGCTGAGATACAGATGGCTCTCCAGGGATTCTCCCCACAACCCTAAAAGAAAGAAAGTCATTTCTGATAAAGACTTTGCGTTCTTGCCACACCCATTTTCTTATTGCTAACTATGCAGGCGTTATCTCCTTGGGTGGTCAGTGTTCTCTTGGCAGCCTAAGGATACACTGTAGCCGCAAAGCTTGCACCAGTGACTTTTCTTGAAGTAACAAAGCCCAGCCGGCACCACAGGAAGCCTCCGAAGCCCTTTCTGTGCAGAGGGTTGATGATGTGAGAGGAGGCGCTGGAAATGTTCAGTTTGCTTTATTTCACTTTAATTTTCTTCAAGCTAACTCAAGATGAGATTGAGTATGAATCAAATGGAGAGGCTAGTTCATTAGGTACTGCCTTGGGCGCTTGCCTCCTCCCTCTGCCCCCTTCTTTCTTCCTTCTCTCCCTCCTGGCTTTTGGGTTCTTTATCTGATTGATTTTAGATGAGGTCTCATGTTGGTTGGCCTTAAACTCTATGTAACTAAAGACGACCTTGACTTTCCGACTTGACCTGCTCTGAATGCTGGGGTCACACAGTGCCCACCTTTTGTGTCACCTCATAAAAACAGGCTCACCCTAGACAAAGTCACATCTTTATTTTTTGCCACTGCACCTCACACTTCGGCCTTGTCCCCACACAACAGTGTGTGTCTCCCCTGACCTCAGACGCCCCCACTGGTAGATGGTTTGTGTTGTCTGGTTTAGCTCCTCTCGTGCTAAGGTTAGTTGCAGGCTCCTGTATTATATCATCTCTCTGTTACTGTAACCAGTTTCCAGACTGAACAGCTTAGAAAAAACGATTTATCTTGGCTCACAATTGTAGAGATTTAAATCTGATGGGCCCTGTTGCTCTGTGGGCCTAGGCAGCACAGGACAGCATGGCAGGAGCAAAACAGAGAGGCTTACTATGGGTGGGGCTGAGCCACCATTCCTCCACTGTGACCTAAGACCGACATGGGATTCCAGCTCTTCAAGGCCCCACCAGCTTCCAATAGTGCCTAGCTAGGGACCACATCACTAACACAGGCATTTGGAAGAATGCTCGTTCACACCAGGATCTCACCACAGAAACAAGACTGCAGGGCTGCAGGCCACACTGGCTTCTCCATTGACCAGAACTTTTGCTCCTCCCAAACAGACTTACCCGGAGCCAGAGCTGCTGCGGCTAATCTACTACGGGGGTGTCCAGCCCGAGATCCGCAGGGCAGTTTGGCCCTTCCTCCTGGGCCACTACCAGTTCGGGATGACGGAGATGGAGAGGAAGGAGGTTGGTCACCTGTGAGGGCAATGAAAGGAGCGGGGTGCTACTGAGCTGGGTACTGTGGGGCTGGGTACTATGGAGTTAGGTGCTACAGAGTTGGGTGCTGTGGACTTGGGCACTGTGTACCTGGGCACTGTGCACATAGGCACTGTACAGCTGTACACTGAACCTGGCCAGGTACTCTGCAGCTGTGCAGTGTGCACCTGGGTACTGTGGAGCCCTGCTTGCCTATTGCAGTGTTGCTGGTGACAGGGGAGAGGCAGGAACATCAGGAAAGAGCTGTGTGGTAGAAACATGATACAAGGGAACTCTCAAATCAATCGACCTCCTATCTTGAGGTCTTACGGACTCCTGCACATCTGTAGGAAGCACTACAGGGACCCACGTGACCTTTACTCAGTTTCCCACATGGTGACCTCCAGCAGAACCGTGATGCTCTTCCTTCCGTGGCTGAGCATCGCTGCATGCAGATGCCACAGCTTCACTCTGAAGCAGCTGATCAGTAGCTAGGCACGGTCATGAATCTCTATTCACAACTGACTTCCAGTGCAGGCTTTGTGTGTTGGAGAATTGCCTGGTGGTAAAATTACTGGGTCATGTGATGGAGGCATATTCAGTCTTGAAAATGAGAAACTCCAGCAGTGACCGTCCCATCTGTTATTGCCACCGACTGTCTATGAGTGGCCCTAACCTGATGGATGGGTGGGTGGATGGACAGGAGGGAGTGGATGGGTGGACGCATGGATGGGTGGATGGATGGACAGGAGGGAGTGGATGAGGTGGACGCATGGATGGATGGATGGATGAGTATGTGGATGGGTGGGTGGATGGACAGGAGGGAGTGGATGAGGTGGACGCATGGATGGGTGGGTGGATGAGTACGTGGATGGGTGGATAGATAGCAGAATGTTGCTCATCTTGTAATCTATATGCCTGACTTGGTACTAAGTACACTGTGGGTACTTATTAAAAGAAATTAATGAGCAAATGTATTAAGTAATGAATAAATGAATGAGGAAATAGAGAAATCATGCGGTGTGTAAGATTGTGTAAGAGGAGAATTAGTAAAAGGAGGAGCGACAAAAGGAGAGTGGGGATGGAGCTCGCATCTGTTGGTGCTGACTATCCACATGCGGACAGGTCAGAGTCCAGGGAGCTCAGCACCTCACATGACTTGCACATGTGCCGACAGGTGGATGAACAGATCCATGCCTGCTATGCACAAACCATGTCGGAGTGGCTGGGCTGTGAGGCTATCGTGAGACAGAGGGAGCGGGAGTCCCACGCGGCCGCCCTGGCCAAGTGCTCTTCAGGGGCTAGCCTGGACAGCCATCTGCACCGGATGCTGCACCGGGACTCTACCATCAGTAACGAGGTAAGGACAGCTGGTCTGAGAGATTGCCAGCGTGAGAGGGACAGAGCCTTGGGGCAGCCTTGCCGTTAGCTTTTGTGTGGGAGGGATTGGGGAAACTCCAGAATCAGATATAGGTTCACAGGGAGTCTCTTACCAGTGCCTTCCCTCTGGGCTCAGTTCTTACACACAACAGTAGGAATGGTGGAGGTGTGGGTACAGCCCTAAGAAGACAGTATCAGATTCCAGTGTAGCGTCTGCCCTCCATATGTTCAGCTAATGTGTTCTGAACACCTACTATGTACAAGGACTTTTAAGAGTGTTCTGGTAGCTAAGACAGATCTCTGCTTTTACACAGTCCTCAGATAAATAACCCAAAGTAGACTGACTGAAGCTGACTGCGTGGCAGAGCCTAGGGTCAGAGTAGGGAGGGTGGGACAGAAAAACTGAACCGTGAGCCCCATCTGTTACTCTGGAAGGACATAAATCCTAGCCAGAAGTTCTCAAGTTTGTTAAAGGTGGGGTGCTCTAATGTGGAGGCTGGAAGGTGGGACCCAGAGGCCAGGGTCATCTCCAAGGAGGCTCCAGGGAGCATCCAGGAGCAAGGGTTCTGGGATGGAGCTTGTGCCAGCCAGAAGGAATGGAGCCCCTAGTGTGACCATCCATCTTTGTCTCTCTGGTTCCTATCCGCCTCAGTCCTCCCAGAGCTGCAGCTCAGGCCGCCAGAACCTCCGACTGCAGAGCGATTCCAGCAGCAGCACACAGGTGATTTTCAGAGGCCCTGCCCCTCGTGCCCCCCCATCCACACCAGCCCCGCCCTTCCTCCTGGGGTTGAAGGGATTGGATGTTCATCATTTAGCAGCCTCTCACTGCTTGACGTGTTGTGTGTTGGGCTCCCCCCACACATAGGGTTTCTCTGTAGCTTTGGAGCCTGACCTGGAAATCACTCTGTAGACCAGGTTGGCCTCGAACTCACAGAAATCTATCTGCCTCTGCCTCCCGAGTACACCACCACCACTGGGTCTGTCTGGGGCTTTTTATGGCTGTATTGGAGTGTGCTCTCTACATCGCACAAGCGCCTGCAGCCTCCTTGAATCCACAGTGATGGGATGCAGCCTTTGTACACATCAGCATGCCAGGATCCCACTTCTTTGTGTAAAATGACAAGTGTGTACACAGGCCAGTGCATCCTTCAGGTCACTCATAGAGTAGTGCAGTGTAAAACAACATAGAAATAGCCATCGGGCTGTGCCATTAGGAAGGAAGGACAGGTGTCTGAGCCTGGTCTGTGCAGGTGCAGTGGCTTGCGGGGTATATTTGCTCAGCATTGGTTGAATCTCGGACCCAGCCTCTGTGAATTTGGAGGCTGAACACAAGCCTTCTCTCCTGTAAGACGTCACACCTCACACCTGCACTTTGCTTTTGTCTCCATCGCCTCTGTCCTCCCTTGGAGCAGTGCTACAATCATCATGTCTCCTGTGTGGCCTTCCAGAACCTTCTGGGTGCCTTTACACACACACATACCTAATGTAGAGCAAGAGCTGGTGGTTCTTAAGATCCCACATAAACACCAGCCAGCAGATGTATTGTTCCACAGCTTTGGGCATCACTAGTAAAGCTTACCCCATCTGGAGCCTCACCAAACCGAAAGAAAAGCACAAAGCAGTCTGGAGTGATGTCTCAGTGGGTGAGAGCATGAACTGCTCTTGCAGAGAACCCAAGTTCAGTTCCCCACACCTGTATGAGGTGCCTCACAACCCAGGTGTAACCCCAGGAAGTCTGGTGCCCTCTTCTGGACTCCAAGGGCACCTGCACTCATGTGGGCATATACACATAGACACATAAATAAAAAAATAAAATAGCTGTTTTTAGTGAAAAGTATAAAAACATGCACAGAATGTCACCTCGTGGGTAGAAAAATCTGTGTGTGTGTGCATTGACGTAATCTATAAGAGGTCCCAGCACTGCACACAAAAATGCAGAAATAGACCCAGTGAACTGAGATTGATGGTGGCCACACAGAAGATCAGTGTGAGGCTTTGGAACCTGATGTTTTCTGTGACCTTGAGGGTTACAGCTGAAGGACACAGAGAACCACAAATAAACCCAATATTAGACGTCTGTATGGTGAAAAGCAAACTTCTCCCCAAACTGCATGTCCCTATTGACCTCTTGAATTGCCAACATAATCTCAGCACTTGGGCTGTTGACTTTCATTAAGAAGAGCACACTGCCTTTGTACTGACTGCATGCTTTTCCACTACATGTAAATCTATCCCGAAACATCCCTGTTGTTGGATATTAAGTTGCTGCTTTAAACTGAGTTGCCCTGCACACCCTGACCTGCCTATCTGTGTGTCCCGTTCCTCAGGTATTTGAGTCTGTGGATGAAGTGGAACAGACAGAGGTAGAAGGCAGGTCAGAGGAGAAACAGCCCAAAGTCCCCAACGGGAACCTGGCAAATGGCACTTGCTCCCCAGACTCTGGGCACCCTTCGTCCCACAACTTCTCATCCGGCCTCTCTGAGCACTCCGAGCCCAGCCTTAGCACCGAAGACAGTGTCTTGGACGCCCAGCGCAGCCTCCCCGCTGTGTTTCGACCTGGAGACAGCAGCGTAGAAGACGGACAGAGCAGCGAAGCCACCACTTCCCGGGACGAAGCCCCCCGGGAGGAGCTGGCGGTGCAAGATAGTCTTGAGAGTGATCTCCTTGTCAACGAGAGCATGGAGGAGTTCATGTCCATCCCTGGCAGCCTGGACGTGGCCCTGCCTGAGAAGGATGGCGCCATGATGGAGGGCTGGCCCGGCGAGACAGACAAGCACGGCCGGGCTGACAGTGAGGACAACCTCTCTGAGGAGCCGGAGATGGAGAGCCTCTTCCCTGCCCTGGCTTCTCTGGCTGTGACGTCCTCTGCCAACAACGAGGCATCGCCTGTGTCTTCCAGTGGCGTCACCTACTCTGTAAGTCACAGGGTCTTTCCCTGATGAGGGTGAGACTGGTCACCGTTTGTTTCATTCCCCCCATCACAGGGGGTCATCGTTGTAACATGAAGGGCTGCTGAGCTAGGAGCCAGGAAACCTGACTCCAACCCTTCTCCTGGCTATGGCACAAGTCCCCTCCCAGAGCCTCAGCTCCCCAGCTGCACCCTGGAGCCTCCTCAGAGGTGACCTTGACCTCTGGTAGCTAAGGCTAACCTCTGCTCTCACAGACTTTGATTGAACAACCTAAAGCAAAGTTCAGAAACAAACCCACTTTCTCCACGATGTCATCAGCTTCCACATCCATGCTGTATAACCAGTTACCCAAGGCCAGCCACTTTTGCCAACTAGCAAGGGCCCTACATTTGCCTCTGAGTCTGTGGGCCAGCTGAGAAGCTGTACCCCAAGCTAGGCTCATTATGACATTGGCAGTCAGGGGTTGGTCTGTATTTCATCTTCCGGCAGGCTAACCTAGGCAAACGTAGGCTTGTACTCATGGCAAAGGCAGATGCTAAGCAGAGAGACCCAATGTGCCCATATATATTTTAAGCCCCTGCTCTGTCTGGCTCTCTCACAGCACTGACATCGCTGGCTGAAGCCAACTGTGTGGCAGAGCCTAGCATTGGAATGGGCAGTGTGGGCAATGGCAGGGGGGTCACAGAGCAGAACGAGTGTGGGAGAAAGTGAAGTACCGAGCCATGAGTCCCACCTGTTTCTCTGGATGGACACACATCTCTAGTGTGGAAACAGAGGCAGGTGGGCCCCAAAGGGCCCCAGTACCTTCTCTCCTATGGCTCTTTTCTTCCTTAGTTTACAACCATGTTTTGTTGGAGTACATGCCATAGTGACTTCCATATGCTTCTTCATCCCATCTGATGTCACAGGCTGCAGGGCCGGGACCCTGCCTATTCTGTGACGTTCCTTCTTTGTGGTTTTGGAATCAGGTCTGTGGACCTTGGCATGTGTGTGATGGTGTGTGCAAACACCAGGGATACCCTCAGGAGCAGGTATTCAGGAGCCTTCCTTTTTGTTAAGCATGTCTCTCCCTGGCCTGTAGTTCATCAATTCAGCCAGGCTAGCTGGCCAGCAAGCCTCAGGGATCCCCCTGGCTCCTCCTCCTCAGCTCTGGGAGAGCAAGCATGTGTCCCCATGCCTGGCTTTCTACATGGGTGTTGGAGGTCTGAACATGGGCTCTCATACTTGCCAGACAAGTCCTTTACTGACTGAGCCTTCTCCTCAGCTGCTGAAGAATCTCTTAGGAAGATTCCCTCATGCGTGTTCATCCTGAGTGATGTTCCTTCCCTCATCCTGACATCTATCCCTTTACTGAGTGCAGGGGCACATGACTGCCATGTTTGCACAGATTATACATGGAAGTTTCTGTCTGGTTTTGCAGCTGTTTAGTCCCAAAGAAACACGTAGAGGCTTATATTAATTATAAACTGTTTGACCTATTAGCTCAAGCCTATCTATCTATCTATCTAGCACTTACAATTTAAATTAAGTCATAATTCTTGCCTAGGTTTAGCCATGTGGCTTGGTATTTTCTCACTAAGGCATTCTCATCTTGCTTTCTCTGCATCTGACTGGTGACTACATCTCTGTCTTTCCCCTTCCCAGAATTCTCCTGGTCTGGTTACCCCACCTATATTTTCTGCCCGACTACTGGCCAATCAGCATTTTATAAAAACAATATGTTTGACAAATCTTTACAGGGTACAAGAGCATTATCCCACAGCAGTTCCTCTCTTTGTTTTTTCTTTTCAAAACAAGACCCTGAATCTAATCACCTTTGTTTAGCATTTTTCCTGACCATTGTCCATAACAACTTGTAATCAACATCCTAAACAAAGATAAACATTCATAATCCATTTTGGGTAATGTGGGCATAGTTTTCTAGGATACTTCCTGCTAATTGGGGACACTGATAATCTCATGGGACCCAAAGAAAATTTAGAATTATGATTAAGGCCTGACTGGCTGGGTCATCTCAGCTAGCAGTCTCAAGGCTGTTCTTCTTGATGTAAAACTCAGAGGAAACTGCAACAGAGGTGCTTGAAACATTGGGTCATCTGGATCATCTGTTCCCACTGGAGATTTCTCAGGGGGTCTTCCTTGGTCAAATCTGATTTTTTTTTACTGAGAATGCATCCACAGCCTCTCATTTCCTGTGGAAATAAAAGCAGAACCTCTTCTTCAAAGTAACATGTCTTTTGACTTTAATTTGAAGTCAAGGTATTTTTAAAATATATAGGTTGGATTAATTCAGCAGCATTAATAATCAAATGTCTTTTAGCAGCTGTTGCTCCTTCCTCAGCAGTCAAACAATTCAAATACAACACAATAACATACAGTAGCTAGATTCTCTGTGTATTTCCCATCATTATGTGCCTTTTTTTTTACTCTATATCTTTTATTTTTATTTTTTTAATTTTTTTCAGACAAAGTTTCTATGTGTATCTTTGACTGTCTTGGAACTCACTCTGTAGACTAGGCTGGCCTCAAACTCACGGAGATCTGCCTGCCTCTGCCTCCCAAGTGCTAGGATTAAAGGCATGGTCCACAACACCCAACTACCCTATTTCTTTTTTTTTTTAAAGGACTTTCTCTATCCTTTTTTCTCTCCCAAATCTACATATATTTTTAAAGCACTATAAACCCATTTAGAGAGTTTTATTTTGTCTGAATCTGTCTTTACTCTATTTCTCTATCTTTTTATGACTACATAAGTCTTTACTCTGCTAAGTGATATGGATAGGATTAAAGCTGTGACTTTGGTGGCTGGTTCCATCCCATTCCTTAGCTTTTTGAGAGTCTAGTTTCATGGCAGATGTACTGCAGGAGCCAGATTTATTGTCATGACTCTGTGGAGTTTCTAGGTCCATACCATCACCAAGAAGCCTGATGCCGACTGCTCATAAACACCACTTAAATGTTTGATGGCAGAGCCTCTTGAAAGAGCTGTGAGGTTTTTGCTGCTAATGCTTAGTCAGGAAGCCTCTCCTAAAGGAGCTGCACCTCTGCTTGCCATCAGCAAACAGAGCCTATTGGAGAAAAGATGGTTACCTAAAACAACACTTAACTCTGTTCTTGTCTATCTAGAATCCTTTTTTAAAAAAGCTTTCTCAGGTTTTATGTGAAAATTCTTGCCAAACGTATGGGTACCATTAATAGACAGAAGGTTTTGTCCCACCTGGTCCTGTAGCCATTCTGTCCCAAAGAAACACACAGACTTATAAACTGTTTGTCCTGTTAGCTTGGGCTTGTTACTAACTAGCTCTTACAACTTAAAGTAACCCATAATTTTTATCTATATTTAGTCACAGAGCTTGGTGCCTTTTCTCAATGAGGCATTCTCATCTTGCATCCTCTGTGTCTGACTGGCAACTGTACCTCTGCCTTTCCTCTTCCCAGAATTCTCCTACTCTGGCTGCTCCACCTGTGCTTCCTGCCTGACTACTGGCCAGTCAGCATTTTATTAAACCAATACGAGTGACAGATCTTTACAGTGTACAAGAGCCCTATCCACACAACAGATGGTCGCTGGTGTGTGATGGTTCCATTTGTGGTTTTCAGCTTCACAGTGGTGAGGAATGTATCTGTCGGAAGCAGACTTTAAGTTGGCATTCAGATCTTTCCCTGCACTAGTGTATGCATTATGATTTCTCCCCGCAGGGTGGGGCAGTGGCTACAGCTCCCCTGGCCACTCAATCTTGAGGGACCCTCTGGCTCTCTGGCATACTCTGTCATCAGCTGGATGCTCATAGGTTAGGTACTGGCCACACAGTTTTTAACTTTTACTGTATTTCAACTGCAACTGAGTTTATCCTCTGTAACCCCATCCCAAGGAGAGGAGTACCTGCCCTTTGAAGACTCTGCCCCACTCCTTCCAAGTCTATCCTTGATGTCAGGAAGCCTGTCTAACAGTCATGCATTTAAAGAGGGGTTTTCTCCCTTTCCAAATATTCTCTTTTAGGGGCTGGGGTCATACCTCAGCCAGTAAATTCTGCAGATTCCACACCAAGAGCTCACATCACATCATCACCATCACATCATCACATCATCACCATCACATCATCACATCATCATCATCATCATCATCATCACCATCACATCATCATCAACACATCATCATCATTACATCATCATCATCACATCATCATCATCACATCATCATCATCACATCATCATCACATCATCATCACCACATCATCATCATTACATCATCATCATCACATCATCATCATCACATCATCATCATCACATCATCATCATCACATCATCATCACATCATCATCATCACTACCATCATCATCACATCATCATCACATCATCATCATCATCACCACCACCATCATCATCATCATCAACACATCATCATCACATCATCACCATTATATCATCACATCATCATCATATCACATCATCACCATCACCATCACATCATCATCATCATCACCATCATCATCATCATCAAAGCACAGTAGACCAGGCACAGTGGCACACAACTTTTATCCCTGTTGGGGGAGGCTGCTCATCCATTCTAGGCTGCTCATCCCAAAAATAATCACACAGAAACTATAGAAAAAATACAAACAGTATTTGCAATATTCTTTGGCCAATAACTTAAACATATTGCTAGCTAGCTCTTGTATCCTAAACTAACCCATTTACATTAATCTGTGTATCATCATGTCACTGTGGCTTACTGGGTAAAGTTTGGTCCCCAGCATCTGTCTCCCACAGGGCTACATAGTATCTCCTGATTCTGCCTACTCTCTCTCCTCTCTCTCTCTCTCTCTCTCTCTCTCTGTATATATATATATATATATATATATATATATATATATATATATATATCTTCCTTCCAGCATGGCTATATTCTGTTAAGCCATTGGCTGAAAGCAGCTTCTTTATTAACCAATGAAAGCAACACATATACAAAAGGACTTCCCATACCATATCCTAACACTTGAGAGGCAGAGGCAGGCCTCTCTGATTTAGAGGCCAGCCTGGTCTACAGAGTGAGTTCCAGTACAGCATGGTCTACACATACCTCATCTTAGAACAAATAGTAACAAAATCAACGAACAAGTAAAAACCAGGATGGATTATGTAGCTCAGTGGTAAGCACTTACCTACCCTGCAAAGAGCACTGGGTTAGATCCCCAGTAACACACACACACACTCATACCACACACACACAGTCACACAGACACACACACACAGACAAATGCACATGCATCCAAGCACACATAGACATACACAGAGATACAGAGACACATATAAGTGCACACTCACACACGGGTATACACATACAGATGCACACGCACACAGTCACACAGACACACACTCAGTCACACAGACACACACATACAGACAAATGCACATGCATACAAAGATACATAGACATACACAGAGATACAGACACACATATAAGGGCACATTCACACACAGACATACACATACAGACATACACAGGCACATATGCACACAGATGCACAGAAACACACAGACACACAATGTACCTGTGTGTATAAGGGGTCTCTCTTTGTCACTGTGTGCCACTCTTTCTGGCGCAAGTCTCCCTTTCTTCCCAGCCAGGGTTTGTTGGGCTTGTGACTCAGTCGGTCCTGGAGTGTCCCACCTGTTGGTACACTGCTCTTGCTGCTTCGACATTCCTTCTCTCCTCCTGCACTTCTGGCTGGGTCTTTGTTGGGACACCTCCCATGCCCTTCTCACTTTCCTCTTAACAGTCACCTTCCCCTGGGTCTCCAGCTCCTGGCTCTCTCTTCAGCGGTGTCTGCTCCTGGAGCAGGGAGTGCAGCTCATGACCTGCCTGGCGTGTGCCGGATCTGGGGTTTGATCTTCAGTGCAACCAAACATGTCTGTTTTCAGTCTGTGTGCCTAGTGTGAGCCAGATGTCTTTTTCACGTGACTTATTATTTTTCTCCTGTGTGCTGTGAGATCCCTGCTGGACTCTAAGAATCTGGCTCCTGTCCCTATGCTGTTTTCGTTTCCTTGTTTCTCAGGCAGAGGCTCATGATGCAGCCTGGGCTGGCCTTGAGTTCACTCTGTAACCCAACTTCTAACTTACAGCAATTCTCCTGCCTCAGGCTCCTGAGGACTGAGGTGACAGCTTTGTGCCACTTTTAAATGTATTAAATATATTTGTTTACTATTCTGTTCTGATGCACTATGTGTGTGCCTGCAGTCCCAGCACTCTAGGTGTTGAGGCAGGAGGACTATGAGTTCCAGACCAGCCTGGTCTACATCATGAGACCTGGTTGCAAACAAATACTTTTACATCATGCAAAGTGAAAATAACTTTCCCAGGAAACAAAGAAAGCCAACTCTGGAGTGAACTGTTGGGAGGTGAGGACTGGAAGTAGTTCTTGGGGTCAGTGTCCCCATCGTTCCTCTCCCGCCCACAGCCGGAGCTACTGGACCTGTACACAGTGAACCTCCACCGCATTGAGAAAGACGTGCAGAGGTGTGACCGCAGCTACTGGTACTTCACAGCTGCCAACCTGGAGAAGCTGAGGAACATCATGTGCAGGTGGCTGCGGTTGGGGGAGTGGGAGGGGCAGTGCGGGAGCAGGGAGGGGGAGATTGGGGCGGAGAGGAGGGGTGGGTGAGAGATGAGGTGATGGAAGTGATAGAGGATGGGAGACACGTGGGGTGGGGTGGGAAAGTGGGGGCTGTAGGAAACCCAGCTGCAGCTTTGGTTCCTGTGGCTGCTACCACTCTGATAAGAAGTTTTATTTTATTCATAGTACCAGTAATAATATAGGACAAACTGAAGGTCAGGAGCAAAGAGAACAGAGGCATGCGTGCTCCTTAGTGCTTAGCTCCCTCTACACACATGGTCCAGGATCTCCTGCTGAGGAATGGTGCTGCCCACAGTGGGCTGTGGCTTCCTAGACCTATTAATGTGTAACCAAGACGGTTTCCCAGTGGCCACCATGATGTAGACTAGCCTTTACTCCCTTCCCAACATGACCCTTAGCACTAACTGTCACCGGACTGTGGGTGTGTCCGTTGCTTCTCTGTGCCTCAGTCTCCTCGCCAGAGAAACATGATCTTGATGAGACCCACTTCACACGATCGCTTTAAGGTTTAGAGATTCTAGGTGCACACAGAGCAGAGGATGTTGTCCAGGCCCAGTGGGTCAAAGCTGGTTATTCATAGCGACTGATCCAAATTCCTGGCAGACACAGAGGGAATCAGTAGGGCAAATTCCTAGAGACTTTAGTGAGTCATGTATTTGTGCAAAGTGAAGAATTCCTCCTGGTAGCCAGAGAAGAGGCACTTGAAAGTCATGTGTGGGTCTGGGAGGAGGAGATGAAGGAGGAGAAGAGCTCATGCACCCACGACAGCGCCCCTGGGTGGCAGTACTTGTGGAGAGTCCTGTGCTCTGTGAGGCCCTCTTGGGCAGGGTTGCCCTGGTGGCTGCACCTAGGATGTGTGGGACACTGAAGGTGGGCATCATACTGAAGGATGGAGGACCAGATGGGAGAAAGGAGCAAGGAGAGTTTGGAAGAAGCAGGCTGGGAGGGGACAGGAATGTGAGCTGTAGGCTGTGGTACCCTCATTGTGCCCTGTTTCTTCTGCAGCTACATCTGGCAACACATTGAGATTGGCTACGTCCAGGGCATGTGTGACCTTCTGGCCCCACTGCTGGTCATCCTGGATGATGGTGAGTTAAGTGTGTCCCCCTGCTCTGTGGGAGAGGAAGGGTTAGCCTTACTTGTGTCTCTGTGGACTGGGTCAGGACAGTTGCACAGCCTGGTGAACTCATCCCAAACCCAGTACTATGAGACATCCCACAGTGCACCGTGCTGAGGTCCACCTGGCTGTAGTGAGCCTCTGACCTGGTCCTCTGGTGCTCCTCATATAAACTCTACCAGAGCCTCTGACCTGGTCCAGATGGTGCCCCTCGTATAAACTCTACCAGAGCCTCTGACCTAGTCCAGATGGTGCCCCTCGTATAAACTCTACCAAACAGTGTAAGATTGAAGGGTAGCTCTTCATAAGCTCTCCTCCCCTGCCCCCCACAAAATAATTAACAAATTCAATCCAACAATATATAAAGAATTAGACAATATGACCAATTGGGGTTTGTCCCAGAACTGCAAAGACAGTTTAATATCTGAGCATCAATCAATATAATCAATATAACATAATATAATACAATTAATATAATATAATACAATATAATATAATGCAATCATACATCACCTGAGTGTAGACGCCAGTTGCATGATCATTTCCCAGCCACCCAGACACGAAGAATCACATAAAAACTTTATTAATTACAACACTGGCCAATGACTCAGGGTTATTTTTAACTAGCTCTTACATCTTAAATTAACCCATTTCTATTAATCTATGTATCACCACGAGGCTGTGGTCTACTGGTAAGGTTCCGATGTCTTTCTCCTTTGGCAGCTACATGGCGTCTCCCTTACTCTGCCTTATCTCCTCCTCTACCTCTGCTTGGATTTCCTGCCTTTCTATATTCTGTCCTGCTATAGGCTGAAGAAGCTTCTTTATTAGCCAGTGGTAATAAAATATATTCACAGCATGCAGAAGGGAATCCCACATCACCTGACTATAAAAAACGGGCAGGGTGTGGTAGCCATGCCTGTGGTCCCAGCTCTCCAGAGGATGAGAGGTTCAAAGTCATCCTTGACCAAGGTGAATTTAAGGCAAGCATGGGCTACATGAGGTCCTGTCTCAAAACATTAAAAGAGGCGGGGAGAAGAATTGGAAAGGAATTAAAACCATCCTTGGTGTGTCCTGTTCTGGATGATTTGACTTTAGGATGAAATCCAAAGAGTAAGAAAGAGCAAGTGAGTCTTGGGGAACGCAAGCATAGTCTTGTATTTTTACACAACTGAGCTGAGAAATCCTAAGGAGAAATTAAGATGATGAGTCCATGTGTCATGTCTCCTAAAGAAAGAAGTGTTTTCACTACCTTTAAAAAGGTGTGGCTTATCCATCGAACACCACAAAACATTGTCAGTCAGAGGAGAGGAAGCAGAAAGGGGGGCACATCTCCCATTGCAGCTGGAAGGCTTGGTGCTGGCGAGGAACATTGTCCTCTGTACTGTGTGTGAACTCAGGAAAGCCCTGTCAGAATCCCCAACTGTGGCTGCGAGATGACTTGGTGAGTAAAGGCATTGCCACCAAGCCTGATGACCTGAGTTTAACCTCTGGGACTCACGTAGTGAAAGGAGGGAACTGACTGCCACAAGTCGTATACACACACACACACACACACACACACACACACACACACACACACACGAGAGAGAGAGAGAGAGAGAGCGCTTTGGCGCCTTCACCAGGGCCTGCATGTAGATTTCTGGGCTGCAAACTGAGTCCTGAAAGAAGGGTTTGCAGTTGACACTCAGCTAACTAACTGGAGTTCAGTCAATTCAACTCCACAAGCTCAGTCATGTCAAGTTAGCAGCTGCTGCGACGGGAAACACACATGCAAAAGATGGAAGACCTGCCTCACTCGCCCCACACAAGAAGCACACTTGAACTTGATCCCAGAAAACCAAAATGACAACACTCTTCACTCTTAGAAGAGAGCTTTCAGGGGAATGCGGGTCACTTTGCTGGGATGGTCGATGTTGTGAAATCTTACAGTAACTCAGCAAGCAACAACTGGTCCACTGGGGCTAAGATTGGCAGCCAAACTTGGTGAGCTAAGCAGTCTCCCAGATGGTCCTGGCTTTGAAGGCATGAAGGAATCAGAACAGTGGAGGTTTGGTGCTGTGAGAGACGGTAGTCAGCTGCATGTCAGGGTGACCGTAATCGTGACAAGTAGGCCAGGCAATACAGCACCAGGGTGACGGGCCGCCAGACTCTGGAGGCATCTACTGCTCACAGTTTCTGTAATCTGCCCTGATTCCTTTTAAACCTGAGTTTAACCAATAGCGTTATCTCCCCAAGGTCACTAAGAGAAACTAGAAAAACTACCATTTTCAAATAAGATTTTCAAATGCAGTCCAGTATGTCAAGTTTCTACAGAATTTCTCAGAGGCTTTGCTTTCTTTTTTCAATTTTTGAGGTTTTGTTTATTTTTATTTGCTGTATGAGTATTTTGCCTGATTATGTTTTTGTGCACCACGTGCCTACAGTGGAGATCAGAAAAAGGTGACAGATCCCTTGGAACTGAATTACAGATGATTGTGAACTGCCATGTGGGTGCTGGGAATCAAACTCAGGTCCTCTAGAAGAACAGCCAGTGCTCTTAACCATTGACCCCTACTTTCTTAATATATGTAAATAGATATTCCAGGCAGCATTTGCTGAAGGAGTTTGTCCCTTCTTTACATAACATCAACCAAAGCTCTTGCTATGTTGACAGTTGCTTTTTAAAAAAATAATTTATTTTTATTTTATGTACAGCAGTGTTTTGCCTGCATGTAAATCTCTGTGAGGGATCTGTGCAGATCCCCTGGAACTGCAGTTACAGACAGTTGTGAGCTGCCATGTGAGTGCTGGGAATTGAACCTGGGTTTTTTGGGAGAGCAGACAGTGCTTTTAGCCACTTAGTGGTCTCCCCAGCCCCCAGCAGTTGCTCTTGAATACAGTGACTTCCAGAGTTGAGAATTCCATGAATCAGTAGAATTCTGAAGGAAAGAACTATGGAGAGCAGCAAAGCAGCATGGGCTTTGTGTCCCAACCAATGGAGAGCTTTCAGTCGTGTCTATGCCTGAGAGAGGCTGTTCCTCCCAGGGTCTCTGAAGCAAGACCTGTGTGACACACTACAGGTTGCTGAGCATCCAAGGGCATGGCCTCCACTGAGTCCTTCCCACCCATCTGTTTCTCATGTGATCATGGCCTCTGCTCTGGGCTTTCCACTGTCTCTCAGGAGCCCCAGTGCCTGAGACAGTGGTCTGGCTAATGCTTTGTCCTGCTCTGTCCCCAGAGGCCCTGGCCTTCAGCTGCTTCACGGAGCTCATGAAGAGGATGAACCAAAACTTCCCCCACGGAGGTGCCATGGACACGCACTTTGCCAACATGAGGTCCCTGATCCAGGTAGGACCCTGAGGCTTCCTGCTCTGACTTTAAGGGAGACTTTTCAGGCATCCTGACCTTGATTTTATCCTCCTTCTGTATTAATCTGTCTCCCTCCCCTTCCCTAATTGGAGGCCTCCCTCTTCCCCATCCCCCTCCAGATCACTTGTGCCCCGTTATTCCCCTCTCTGTTGCTCCCTGGCCCCCCTACCCCTTTCTCACTTTCCTGTTCTGCAGTCACTGGAGGCTGTGGACTGGCGTCTGAAGGTTTGCAGCTCAGAGAGTCAGATGAGAGCTAACACACCGAGCTTGTCTTTCTGAGTCTGGGTTATCTCACTCAATATGATCTTTTCTAGCTCCATTCATTTACCTTCAAAACACGTCGTTTTCTTCTTCTTTAGAGCTAAATACTATTCTTCTGTGTATAGTACCACATCGTCATCTCCCATTTGCCTGTTGAAGGACATGTAGGGTGTTTCCATTTCCTTTCTATTGTGGATGGAGCAGGACGCTGAGTGCTTCAAGCACATGCCAAGGACTGCTACAGCTGGGTCAGAAGTTAGTTTTCCTTTTAGGCTTTTGCGCGTTCTCCACACTGGTTTCCACAATGGCTGCTCCAGTTTGCATACCAAGCCCTCCAGCAGTGAGTGTGCCCCTCTCCACCCTGGCTAGCATTTGGTGTTGGTTGTTCTGCCAATCTTGGCCATTCCAACTGGGTGTGATGTGAAATCTCAAAGTTTTTGTTGGTATGCATTTCCCTAGCTGCCAATCAGACTCTACAAGAGGCAGGCCTGACGGTAGTTTCAGCAAAATCCTGTAGGGGAACCTACGCAGACTGGAGCTCTGAATGCCCTCCAGCCCAAGGTGGCTCTTGCTGCTGCTTTGGTGGGATTAAAAAAAGCCACTAAATGTTTTGGATACAAAAGGTTGAAGAAACAGGATGGATCAGGGTTGATTGCTGCCAAACCCAGAGACTATAGTTTGATTGGTTGAATTCACAAAGTACTAGGAGAGAATTGACACGTTGTCCTCTGATCTACACACACACACACACACACACACACACACTAGACAGAGAGAGAGAGAGAGAGAGAGAGAGAGAGAGAGAGAGAGAGAGAGAGAGAGGTGGCTCAACACAAGAAAAAGGACCAGAGTTCAGATCCCCACACCCTTATATAAACCCAGTGCTGGGGAGGCAGGGGCAGAGTTGTACCATTCTGCATTCCCATCAGCCATGCGTGAGGGTTCTGTTCACTCTGAATTCTTGCCAACATTTGCTACTGTCTGTCACTTTGGGTGTGAGCTTGTCTCGTTGCTCTAACTTGCTTCCCCTGATTTGAGGCCTGGCCATCGTAAGTCCTCTTTGGAGAGGTCTGCACCCTTGCACTCATTGGGAGCCACCTGGAGTGCAGGGTGAGCACACAGCCAGAGGATTCCGCTGTGCCCAGCTCTTTCCAGGGGGCTGATGGCCTGCCTTCCCTCCATCAGATCCTGGACTCAGAGCTCTTCGAGTTGATGCATCAGAATGGGGACTACACCCACTTCTACTTCTGCTACCGCTGGTTCCTGCTGGATTTCAAACGAGGTACAGACTGCCTCCTGGGGACTTGTCCCCAGAATTTCTGGGGTGGTAATGATGGGGAAGTGGAGGCTGAAGAGGACACAGGAGTGAAGGGCAATGGGGCAAAGGTGACAGAGGAGGACACGGGAGTGAAGGGCACTGGGGCAAAGGTGTCAGAAGAGGACACGGGAATGAAGGGCACTGGGGCAAAGGTGACAGAGGAGGACACGGGAGTGAAGGGCACTGGGGCAAAGGTGACAGAAGAGAGAACATTTTACTCAGATCTATCTTTCTCGCAAAATGACTATACAATAGGAATCATAAAATCCCTATTTCGGTGCCTTGGGAGACAGCTCAGCCAATAGAGTGTCTGCACAAGCCTGAGGTCCTGAGTTTGGATTCCAGCACTCACATAAAACCTAGGTGTGGAGGCCAGCAAGGTGGTAAAGGTGCTTGCCACCAAGATGGAGGACTTGAATTTGATCATTGGAATCCATTTGGTTAAAAGAGAGAACCTATTCCCACAAGCTTCCTCTGGCCTCCACACATGTGCACCATGACTTTAATTAATAAGTCCATTATTATTAATTTTATTTTTAATTAATTATAATTATTAATTAAATTATTAATTATTAATCAATAATTTAGTTAATACTTTAAGAAGTTTAGAAGGCCAAGTGCAGCCATGTATGTTACATGTCTGTGATTCAGTGATGGGAAGGCAGATGCAAATTGGCCACCAGCGCAGCCAAACTGGTGAGCTCTGGGCTCTGTGAGGCCACCCAACCCAGCTAAATCAATGAACTCTGGGTTTCCTGAGGTGGAAGTCGATAGAGGACATTGACGTCAATATTGGGCCTCCATGGGCATGCACACACACGTGCACATGAACACATACACGCCAAGATTTCTGTTTCATGGGTGAGGAAACTAAGAAGTCAAATATGGAGCTAGGAATAGGGGAGCCAGGGCCCAAACTTGGTTCCACCATCTCTGGGGCGAGGCCCTCCCATCTGCCTTCCTGCTTAGCTGAGATCAAGAGCTCTTCAGTTGATGGGATGTCAAGTGTGTTTCCTGATGGACTTAGCAGGAGTGTCGCCTCGGGATGCGCGCTGTTGGGCAAATCTGCGGTGAGGCGAGGAGCACTTGATTTGCGTGGTGGTGTCAGCCATCTGCCCCACGCTGTGCAGTATAATTGACCGGCTCATCTCTGGTCCTTTACTGTGAGCAGCAGGCCTAGGCAAGGTTGAGGTGTGGAGAGGCTGGAATGGGACAGTACCAGCCCACAGCCCTTGGCTGGGTAGTGAGGGCTTGAGACCCAGTGCCAGCCTTTTGGACTTGGTAGCCTTGCTCTTAAGGCAGAGGTTTTCAACGTGTGGGTTGCAACCCTTTTGGGATCAACTGACCCTTTCACAGGGGTGGCCTAAAACCATCTGAAAGCACAGATTTCCAATGGTCTTAGGAACTGAAGAAGCAATCTCAGTCTTGGCATTGATGTTGGCTTTTTGCACATACTGTTGAAAAATTTAGCAGTGTAGTTTACTGCTGTTCTAATAAGACTGTTACCCATGCTACACCATGCTTCAAGATAAAAATTCATTTATTTGTAGTTAGAAATAAATATTTCATGATATATAATTGCATATTGTTTTTTGTGATTAATCTCTATGCTTTAATTATGTTCAATTTGTAACAATGAAAATACATCCTGCCTATCAGGTATTTATGTTACAGTTGATAACAGTAACAGAATTGCAGTTATGAAGTCACAGTGAAAATAATTTTATGGATGGGGTCACCACAACATGAGGAGCTGTGTTAGAGGGTCGCAGCATTAGGAAAGTTGAGAAACACCGTCTTCAGGGCTCTTCCATCTCCTTGTTAGGCTGAGGCAGCAACCAGCTTGCCTATCACTGAGAGCCACCTGTGAATGCTGCTGAAGAGAGAGGAAGGGCAGTAGGAGAGGGCGGGCAGGGACAGGCCCATGCCAATCAAACCCACACATGCTCAGATTCTTCACACAGGCTCCTTAGACCGAGTCTGGGCCCCCTGCCTCCCAGCCTGAGTTCTGCCTGCTGCAGCAGGGTGTGAGCACAGGGCTGCTCTGGGACTGTCACCTAGAGAAGCGAGGTGCTTGCAGGGAGGACTAGGGAGGGCTCACCTTGCACTCTGTTCTGGACCAGCTCCTATGCGCATGTGTGCTGTGTCCTGCAGAGCTGGTCTATGACGACGTCTTCTCCGTGTGGGAGACTATTTGGGCCGCAAAGCACGTGTCCTCTGCCCACTATGTCCTGTTCATCGCGCTGGCGCTGGTGGAGGTCTACCGAGATATCATCCTGGAAAACAACATGGACTTCACAGACATCATCAAGTTCTTCAATGGTACCAAGGGGCAGGGCTGGGGGTGGGGCTCCAGATGCCAGCAGCTTGACAGCCCAGTTGTTCCCCTGCCTCCACTCTTCTGCTTGCACAGCAAGTTCCCTTACCCACTGAGTGTCTCCTCAGCCCTCTGTTCACCCGCTGGGACCTCAGCATGCTCTAGGTCGTTTTCTCCAGGCTGAGGCTTGGGGGCAGCACCTGGCTCCGCCACTGGCCAGCTGTGCCCCGTGACAGGGTCCTGCCCTCCCTCCGAACATCTCCTTCATCTGTGAAATATCAGGGTCTGCCCCACAGAGTTCGTGGGTGGGGAAGTTGGGAGTGGCAAGGAGTAGGTGCTTAGAGTCTGGGCCCAGCCGGTCACTGGGTGTGGCCTTGTCTAACTGACATCATGTTCTGGGCCTCGTTCTTCAGGGAAAAAAAAATGCTGCAAACACGTCCTCCCTCGAGGGAAGTCCAGAGAATTAATGATGAGACATGAAAAGGTCCTCACAGGTCCCGTGAGGGCCCAATGAGCAAGACAATTGCTAGCATTATTGCCACCTAAACAATAATTAGATGCTGAAAACAATGATAGAGCTGGTTTGCAGCTCCATCATAGAGCACTGACAAACACCAGGCCCTGGGCTCCATCCCTCACTTCTCACTCCAAAACTTAAAGAAGGTTCTAGAAAAGGAGAAAGCCACCTCGGGAACATGACTAAGTTTCTCTCAAGCCAGTTTTCCTTTTTGGAATGATTTTGGATTTGAGCCATGTAGTAGAATTTTATGTTTAGTACTGTTTGGTTTACTGGGAATTACAAAGATGGTGCCCAGCAGTGGAGTCATTTCCTAGTTCCCTTCACTTCCAGTGCTACTTTACGAGTTTCTGGGATGTTTGACACCAAAACTAAGAAATTACCATTGGCAAACTTCATGAGTTTCGCCTACACCAGAAACCAACCAGGCTGAAAGATACTTAAGGAAATGTTCGACATCCTTAGTCATCAGAGAAATGCAAATCAAAACAACTCTGAGATTCCATCTTATACCTGTAAGAATGGCCAAGATCAAAAACACTCATGACAACTTATGCTGGAGAGGTTGTGGGGGAAAGGGAACACTTCTGCATTGCTGGTGGGAATGCAAGCTGGTACAGCCCCTTTGGATGTCAGTATGGTGATTTCTCAGAAAATTAGGAAAAACCTTCCTCAAGACCCACTAATACTACTTTTGGGTATATATCCAAAGGTCTAGGTTTAGGTCTAGGTCTATACTCCATGTTTTTATTGGATTATGTGGTCTTTTGGTGTCCAATTTCTTGAGTTCTTTGTATATTTCGGGGATCAGACCTCTGTCTGATGTGGGGTTAGTGAAGATCTTTTCCCATTCTGTAGGCTGTCGTTTTGTCTTGTTGACCGTGTCCTTTGCTTTACAGAAGCTTTTCAGTTTCAGGAGGTCCCATTTAGTAATTGCTTCTCTCAGTGTCTGTGCTACTGGGGTTATATTTAGGAAGTGGTTCCCTGTGCCAATGCGTTGAAGTGTTCTTCCTGCTTTCTCTTCTATAAGGTTCAGTGTGACTGGCTTTATGTTGAGATCCATTTGGAGTTGAGTTTTGTGCATGGTGATAGATATGGGTCTATTTTTATTTTTCTACATGTTGATATCCAGTTATGCCAGCACCACTTGTTAAATATGCCTTCTTTTTTCCATTTGGTGTTTTTTGCTTCTCTATAAAAAGACTTCCTAAAATTCAATGAAAATGACCACACTACATACCCAAATTTATGGAACACAATGAAAGCAGTGTTAAAAGGAAAGTTCATAGCACTAAATGCCTACATAAAGAAGCTGGAAAAATCCCACACTAGTGAATTAACAGAACATTTGAAAACTTTAGAACAAAAAGAAGCAAACTCACCCAAGAGAACTAGATGGCAGGAAATAATCAAATTGAGAGCTGAAATCAACAAAGAAACAAAGAAAACAATACAAAGAATCAATGAGACAAAGAGTTGGTTCTTCAAGAAAATCAACAAAATAGACAAACCAGCACTGGGTTTACAAAGGCATACCACCATGCTTGGTTTTTACAAGTGTGTGAGGATCTGAACTCTGGTCCTTTTCTTGTGCTTGACCTCTGAACTATAAACTACCATCCCAATTAAATGTTTTCCTTTATAAGAGTTGCCATGGTCAAGGTGTCTCTTCGCAGCACTAGAAACCCTAAGACTCATCAATCCCTAAGACAATGCCCCACAGGCTTGCCTACAGCCTGATCTTATGGAGGCATTTTCTCAGCTGAAGATGACTACAGCTTGTGTCAAGCAGCACAGGGTCTTTGATCCATTTGAAGTTAATTTTATGCAAGGCGATAGATAGGCGTCTAATTTCATTCTTCTGTATGTGGCTATCCAGCTCTCCCAGGGGCTTATATTGTGGACACTCTTTTCTCTAACATTATTTTTGAATCTTTGTCAGTTAATAGATGGCTGCAGTTATTTGCACTCACGTTTGGGTTTTTTGTTTTGTTCCATTGTTTTTGTAACAGGACCAAGCTGTTTTTATTACTATGGCTCTGTAATATATTCTGAAACCTGGAATGTTACTGCCATCCAGCATTGTTCTTTCTGCTCTAGGTTGCCTTGGCTATCCTGGGTCTTCGTGGGTCTTTATGGATTTTAAGATTTTTTTTCTTTCTGTTTTTGTGAGATGGGGATTTGATTGGGTTGCACTGAATCTGTAAATTGCTTTTGACAGAGGTGTTGTTTTCACAGTGCTAATTCTACTAGTCCATAAGCATGGGAGATCTTCATTTTCTAGTGTTTTCTCGATATTTCTCCAGAGGTTGGAAGATTTTTGTTGCAGAGGTCTGTCACCTGTTTGGTGAGGTTCATTCCTAGATATTTTATTTTCTCTGAGGCGGATTGAGTGGGAGTGTGGTCCCTAGTGGTGACAATGTTTCAAGTTTCACACTGAGGTCTATCTTAATTGGGATCTTACAAAGAGATCCATGATCTCTGAGCTTTTTAGCTGTTGCTGTATAGGAAAGTCACTGATTCTATAAGTTCGTTAGGTATCCTGCACATTGCTGAAAGTGTTGATCGTTTCTAGAAGTTTTGTGATAAGATATTTAGCATCTTTTATATACAGTATCATGTCATCTGCAAATAGGAATAGGTTGGCTTCTTATTTGTTTGCTTGTTTGTTTTTCGAGAGAGAGTTTCTCTGTGTAATGGCCCTAGCTGTCCGGCTCTATAGACCAGACTGGCCTTGAACTCACAGGCCACCTACCTCTGCCTCCCAAGTGCTGGGTGGGATTCAAGACGTGGGCCACCACCACCTGGCTTAGTTTGTCTTCTTTAGTCTGTATTTCTTTAATTTCCTTCTCTTGACTCTTGTCCCAGATAGTGCTTAAAGTCCTATATTGAGAAGGAATGGGGACATTGGACAGTGCTGTCTCCTTCCTGATTTTAATGGGGTTCTTTTGAGCTTTCCTCCACTTAGGATGATGTTGTTTGTCACATATAGCCTTTATCACGGAGAGACATGTCCTCCTGAGTCATACTCTATAGGACTTTTATCATGAGGATATTTGGGGTTTTCTTAAAGGCTTTTCTGAGGACCAGAATGTCTGCTGTCAGATCGTATATGATAGGGGAACTGCACCCACAAAATCTAGAAGGATTAGTCACCTACACATGATGGGAACAATGACAGCACCTGTTGACAAGCTAACAAGGATGGGTGAAACTCAAAAGGCCTCCCCTCCAGAGGAAGAGCTACAGGCAGAGAGAGGGAATCGGTTTCCCCAGGGATGAGCCCCACTGATAGGTTACACAATCTGAAGTGATTAGCCCTAAACACATATCTGTGCAAATGAACTCAGCAGGAAATATTTCTATTTACATACATATGTAACAATAATAATTATTCTTGGACATGAAATTTAAAGGAAGTAGGGGGACAGAGGAGGACTTGTAGGGGGAGAGCAAGAGGCAGTAATTATGTAAATATGGTACTCCTCAAAAAACTAAATTTGAAAAAAGAATCTCAATTGATCATAAGTTCAAGGTCATGCTCAGCTACATAGTAAATTCAAGGCCAGCCTGGGCCACATAAAACTCTGCCCCAACCCCTACTTACCTTTCCATTTTTTTCCATAGTGGTTTATTTTCTGTTGTTACCATCAAAGAATCCAGTTATATCTACTTTTTCAAAAATTTTGCCCGTGTTTTTTTTTTAAGATTTATTTATTATGTATACAACATTCTGCCTCCATATATGCCCACATGCCAGAAGAGGGCAACAGATCTCATTACAGATGGTTGTGAGCCAGCGCTCTTAACCACTGAGCCATCTCTCCAGCCCCTCACCCGTGATTCTCTTTCAGGGTTGCAGTATGCACACCCTGCACAACTACCCTGTGATTTACTAAACACCCTTTGTTATTGGGCATTCTGCTTGTTTCAGTTTGAAAGTGTGTGGGAACTCAAAGCATTCCGCACTTTAGCACAGCACAATCCTCCTGCCTCAACACCCCCAGGTTCCCAAACTTCCTCAGTCCAGGGCACCCCTAACTTTTCTGCAATATGCACCCATGCAAACCAAAGTTCCCAGTGGTAAGGCATGAGGTCCAAACCATGTGACACCTTTGTCCTGTCCTCACCACTCAAAAGCTGTTTAACACCCACAGCCCAAAGGAAACCCCATTTCCCTTCGTCCCTTGCTTGGAGCAGCCACTGGTTGTGGAATATTGCACCTGTCGGGCCATGCACAAATCTGCACGCCTCACGATGAGGTCATATTCCCTCCCCCCATTTCCTGCTTCCTCAAGTCTTTCACACAGTCCTTGCTTTTTATCCCTACTGCGTGCGTGGAACTGGTGAGTGTTGCCAAGTTCCCCTCCAAATGACTGCATATCCCACAATGTCCCCAAGAGTTTACCAGGAACCCTAGGGGTACCTCAGCATCTGCTTTAGAAACCATGGTCTTAGGTTCTTTCTCTTTATGAAATGGTTTCTCTGTGACAAAGTCAAGCTTCAAATTATCCTGCTGTACACAGAGATCTGAAGATCTAAGCATTTGTGTAACTCTTGATAGTTCTTCCCTCTCCTCCTCCTCACCACCCATGGCTTTCTTCCTTCCCATAGAGTCTTCAAGAATCAGCCACATGGGGAAGGGGGCAGCTGGAGAGGTGGCTCAGAGGTTAAGAGCACTGACAACTCTTCCAGAGGTCCTGAATTTAATTCCCTGCATCCACATGGTGGCTGAAACCATCTATAAGATCTGGTGCCCTCTTCTGGTGTGCAGGCACACATGCAGGCAGAATACTGTATATGTAATAAATAAGTAAATCTTAAAAAAAAATCTGCCACATTGCTTTATACTACCTATTATCTTTAGGAAAAATATCTTGCTGTATATCCCAGGCTGGCCTCTAACTCTCAATGCTCCTGCCTCAGCATCCCCAGTGTTGGAATTAAAGGTGTATTGCTGTGCCTGGCCTGACACAGACTTGTAAAATATTCAGAAGTTCTGCCTGCAGGGAAGGGTGGAAGAACCAGCCTTCTCCCAGCACACTCTGAGCCAGCATCACTTCTTTCTATTTCCATGGTAATGCCGTGCAGTGACTTCCTGTTACACTCCTCAGTTTACGGATGGGGAAGCTAAGATATGGCAGTGCATAGCTCCTGTCAGAGTCACTCTGAGGGGGGAACACCCAGGACTTCACACCAGGAGCTCGAGGACTCTCCCGGGGCTGACACACAAGGCTGCTCATGAGCGTATTTTCTCTTTCAGAAATGGCCGAGCGGCACAATGCCAAGCAGATCCTGCAGCTGGCCCGGGACCTGGTGCACAAAGTGCAGATCCTGATTGAGAACAAGTGAGGGCTGCAGCAGCCAGGCTTCCCTGCTGCCGTCTACACCTTCCCCTCCTGCAGCCCAGCACGAGGTCCTGGTGTCTGTAGACTAGTGTGGACCGTTGTGTGAGAGCCATACCCTTGACCTTGACCACTGGACGGTGGCGCGGAGGAACCCAGCTCAGCCTTATGTTTTCCTGTTTGACCAAAGATTGCCCGAGACTGGGATTTCCCCCTCTTGGGAGCTGGGGTTGTAAGTAGAGGTGGCTTCTGGGCCTGTTGTCACTGTTCCTTCCTCTGTACCTGGCAGTGTTCCAGAACATTTATGCCAGGCCGGCTTAAAGCAAGGTCTCCCTTAGGCATTGCTCACATTCAAAGTCCCAGATGTCTGAGCATCATCCCTGGCTTCAAACCACCAGATGTTACCCGTACCATCGCCCAAGGTGACCCAAAAGTCCCTGCACAGCAGATGTGCCCCACTAGAGAACCACTGGCTTGGTGGAGGGGCTACCGGCATAGCCGTGTCTGTTCTCTTCGTGCTGAGTCACCTGAGGTCTGTTGCATGGCCCAATCAGAAGCTCACAGCTTCCCACAGTCCTGCTGGAGTCAGGTCTCACTCGCTGTGTTTTCTGATTTTGCTCTGCCCACTGCCAGGAGACTTTTAAGAGGGCATCCTGCGAGTGCCCTGGGGATGCAGGAACTGTTTTTAGGAGGGAGGTGGGAGCTCCTGATGAGAGCCTGGCCCTACTCCCCTCGCTAGGGGAGACCTCCCAGCCTTCAGCTGTGGACCTGGGCTCAGAAGCCTGTAGACTGTGTTTGTGGAAGCCCTGCTCAGGTAAACTAGCTCTTCTCTGAGTACTCAGTTCACTCACAACAGAGGAGGGACGAGCCAGGGGTTGGCCCCGGGACAGGATTGATCTGTGCTCCATGATGGTGGTCTGGGGACGGATGGGTCTGAGAATGGTTCCTCTCCACCTTCGTGCCAAGACCTGCCAAGCCAGACACTGTCCCGGGATGAACTGGTGTGCCTGCTCACTATCCCCCAGCAAAGCAGTCTGGGTGCAGCAGAAATCAAAAGTCACAGCAGAAGCTCATCCCCGGACCTGCAGCCTCTGGGGCATTCAAGGAATGTCAAGTAGGAGTTGGGAGAGGGGAGAGAGAGCAGACAGGAGTGGTTTGAAATATCTCCAGGGGCCTTCAGCCTGGCCCTACTCTGTAGCTTTGCGATGTCCTTCCTCTGTCACACCCCCTGAGTCAAACTCTGCCCTCCACTCTGTGGGCAGGGTGGACAGAATGAGCCCTTACTGCATCTCCATGGACAGCCCAGGGCGGCAGGATTGGAGGCGACCTGATGATCATGGTCACCTCCCAGCCAGATCCCTCATCTTTCTAAGATGGGAGAAAGGGCCAGCGGATAAAGGTTTATTTTGCCACAGGGCGGCTGCCACAAAGGGTGGTGTTTTAGCACAGCCAAGTCCAAACCCCTGACCCTTATTTATTTTTGTAACTGACCAGTGTGGAGTGTAGCACAGGATCTCCCACCACCCTTCGTGCCTCCAGCCTGTGTGCTTGTGGATCTGAGTGCCTCCTATTTATTCCACTTACCAGCTGATGTCTGTGTGTCGTGTTTTCTCCTGTCCTGGTGCCCTGGCAGTTCTCTCTTTAGTGTTGCCCAAGTGTCTTGTGTTTACTAAGAGGTGGTTCTATTCAGAGGAAATATAGCTGAGTGGAAAACCTAAGTGTGGGTCTAGTTATTTTGCTGCTTCTTTGTTTTTTGCTTTTGTTTTGACGAGGTCCTGGCTGGCCTGGAACTTGCTACGTAGACCAGATTGACCTTGAAAGAGATTCCTCTGCCTTTGCCTCTCAAGTGCTAGTATTAAAAGTGTGGACAAGGTTTCATGTAACCCAGGCTAGCCTTGACCTTTCAATCCAGCAGAAGCTAACTGAGGCTAGGTTTGAACTTCTGATCCTCCTAAGTGCTGTGATTATAGGTACTTACTATCTTATCTTTTTTTTTTTAATTACGGTCCTCTGCAAGAGGACCTCTTTAAAAAAAAAGAAAAAGATTTATTATGTATACAACATTCTGCCTCCACGTATGCCCACACGCCAGAGGAGGGCACCAGATCTCATTACAGATGGGTTGTGAGCCACCATGTGGTTGCTGGGAATTGAACTCAGGACCTCTGGAAGAGCAGCCAGTGCTCTTGACCACTGAGCCATCTCTCTAGCTCCTCATCTTTTTGGCTTAGGGCAGAGTCTGAGAGGCCCTCACCTTCTCATGCCAGGATGGTGGGAACAGTCACCTTCCCTCCCTCTCTCTCCCAGGGGAGGTCCCAGTAGAAAGAGGGATGACCAAGGCAGGGCAGTGGGAGGGGGTGCTGTTCATTGACCCTCTTTCTCTCTAGCTGGATGTTCCTGAGGAATTCTGGCCTTTATCTAATTACCAGAAAGCCACCTGAGTCTATCTCTGAATATTTGGACTTCCGTTTGGAGTCTGGGGAATTGGTGTTTCCTTTGGACCTGATTGATGGTACCCAAGGAACAGCACTCCAGGATGACCTCTGGCCTCACACACTTGTGCTCCATATAGAACACACACAGCGAGAGAGAGAGAGAGAGAGAGAGAGAGAGAGAGAGAGAGAGAGAGAATTCTCACCAGAGTACCGGTGAGAAGCATTGAGAATACACTAGCGTCCAAAGAGATGGAAATAGGCATGACTTTCTCACGATGCCACCTGGACTGGGGTTCTCTGTCCTTCTCTATCCTTTGAAGATTTCGGATCCTAGCTCTCCTGCTGTTGGACAGAACTATCCTCCAAGCGATCGGCCACCATCTTCATCAGTTCAGCTGTGTCCAAGCAGGGCTTGTGGACTACTGACCTGAAAGCTAAGGCTCACGCAGCCATGAAAGCTGCCACGAGCATCTTCACCCTGGCTGGGCGGCTCATAGGAAGGGTCACAGGCTCTTTCCTGGCGTGTCTAGCCATTCCTCCCCACCAGAAACTGTCATTCATGCTGGGGACAGACCTCTAGGGTAGCTGGTTTAATGTTACCCACACTCCTTCCTGCAGCCCTCACTTATTGCTCTGTATGTAAGCCTAAGAAACTCATTGGTTCAAACTTCAGTTGCCGTTGGTGTGGAGAGTTACATGTTTAATGCTTCTAGGCACCCAAGGTGGAAATTCCCATGACAAGTGCTTTGGCTGTGTGTCCCTGGGTAAGAGTTAACTCTGAGACTTAGTTTCATACATATGCAAGGGAAAAGTAGAGGTTCCCTTGGTTCTGGACTCCCGTCTGAGGGGGTGCCATCCCTTTATGCTGCTGAGAAGTCCTGGCTGGGAACCCACCACCCCTGAGTTCCTGTTGAATGCTTGGGCACAGCTGCCCTCTCACTCTTGCGCAGTCAGGAACCCAGCCTGCGGGATGGTGCTGCACATTCAAGTGCATCATCCCGGCTCAGCCAACCCAGTTAGGAAAGTCTCATGCTGGTGTGCACGGAGCCTGCTTTCTGAGGCGATGATTCCCAGTCCTGTCAAGTTGACAGTCAACATAAAGGATTACAGACAGGAAGTCTGGAGACAGACAGACATCAGAACCAGATGGAAGCTGAGCTCCCAGGAAGAGTAGGGTTTCCTCCTCAGTGCTCTATGTTTGTGGAAGGTGGGGCAGGTCCTGAGCCCCACCTGGTAGGAAGCACCGTCCTGCATACAACAGAGTCAGAGTCACTAAGTATCTCATGGGAAATAAAGACCTTCCAATCCTCTAAGAGAGGAGGGATTATAAGGGAAGAGCAAAAACATGGAAAGGGTGTCCAATCAGAAGGCCTTGGTGGCACATGCCTTTGATCCCAGCACTTGAAAGGCAGAGGTAGGCAGATGTCTGTGAGTTTGAGGCCAGCCTCGTCTATATAGAGTTCCAGGACAATCAGGACTACATCACGAGACCCTGTCTCAAAACAAACAACAAAAAAAGAGTTTTCAATTAGACGGCCGTCTTCCCAGGGTGCCTCTGTACACTTTCCATCCACATATTTCATTCTCACCTGAGTTCCCATAGTCCTGTGAGCCAGGGGCAGGGCCACGGCAAATGTTTGCTTCGTTTACATATGGCAAATCAAAGTCCTCCACAAAGTAGGCATTATGCCAACCTCCAATTTACCAAAGAATAAATGAGTCCAGAAAGGAAGTAACTTGCCTGAGGTCACACAGCATGGAAACAAAGGAGGTGGGATTTGAACCTGAGTATGTAGAGTGTAGACATGATTAAGGAAGTTCACGAGAGCCCTTAAAAAGGATAACAACTGTTTATTTGGAGAAACACAGTAAAAAAGTTGCAACTGCCCTCTGCTCTGTCAGTGCTAGGAGCTGCATACAGAAACTAAGACTGCCAGCTTCCTATCTGGGTTTATCAGTCCACATGTAGTACCTCAGGCCACACCCTAATGGGCCAGTACCCAAAAGGCTATTGGCTAAAGAATTCCCACAACAGTAGAATACATTATTCTTGTTTGTCCTTTGCTTTCCTGGGTGATGCTCATTTGTTTATTCTGACACAAGGGTGATTCCCTAAGTGTCACGAGGTGTGGGGAGGCTGTCCTCTGGTTTGTGGTCATCTGAGGCCATCCAATAACAACAAGCAGGCTGGTCAGGACCGCATTGAGAATGGCAGTGGCATAGCCCCAGCTCAGCTGGCATGTTCCACTGTAGTACACGGAGGAGCCTTCACAGACTTCTTTGGCTAATGGGGAAGCCAGAGTGACTGGAAAAACCAGCAGGCCTACAAGAGTGGAGGCTGCTGGGAGCAGCAGAAAGGGAAAGTCAGTCTTGGGCAAAGGCTTCTGGGATGATCTGTCATCCCAAGACTCACTCAGAACCCTGCCTTCCCCTACCACCACTACATATCCATCCATTTATCCACCAATCCATCCAACTATCAAATCATCCATCCTTCCATGCACCTACCCATCCATCCACCAATCTATCCAGCTATCAAATCATCCATCCTTCTAACCACTTACCCAGTCATCCATCCACCCTCCACTCACCTACCTACCCACCCACCTGTCCACCTATCTGTGTGTGCACCCACTCACCCATCTGTCCATCGACCCATCATCTCTCCATCCACCCATCATGTCTCCATCCACCCACTCTAGAGACTAAGGCACACACACACACTTTGCCCAAGGTCCTGGCAGACGGTGATATTTTTTTCTGCTTAGTTTATCACCACATGCATTAGAGTAGAATCCTGGGGGGGTCAAATTGCAGATTCCTGGGGAGCTTCGACACTGTGTAACTAGGTGTATTCTCACAAACTCTAAAGATCAAGAATCTATTAAAAACAAAGGCGGAAGAAACTCCTGGTGGGAACAGTAAGGCTAGAAATAAAAGGATCCACACTTGGCTGGGGTCCTCCTGCTGAGAAGAAGGCAGCTTCAGGCTCAGAAGTAAGATTCAAGCAGATCCCTGCAGAGAGGGGAGGGACTGTGGGGTGAGTATGGGATTACAGCAGCAGAGAGAAGTGAGCAGCTGGGGAGGCCAGGCCAGGCCAGGGTGGGGAGGGCTGAGGCAGCAAAGAGAGACTTGGGTTTCCCTCTTCCTGCCACAGGAAGCCCTTGGAAGGTGGGTAAACCAGTCATTTGGGTCTTGTTTCCCTCAGCTGGTCTGGTCTGTGAGCACAGGAGAGGTGGGAGGCACGGGGGGAGGGGGGGGGGGCGGGGCAGGTATGTCAGGGCAGGAGAGGAAGAGGAAGACAGGAGCCTGTGGGGCAGGGTGAGAGGGGTGGAAGGTGAATTAGATGAGAGCATTGTGGGGCTCAGGGCACCCCACCCAGAGGCTCCCAGCAACTAGAGAAGAGCGACCCTCCTCCACTGAGGCTGAAGTGAAGCCGGGACTAGACCCCAGCATTTTCTCAGCTCTTGGTTGGGCATCCTCGGACAGTGCACAGCCTACCCAACATGCAGTGGTAGCGATGGTAAACATGGTACAGAACGGATGGACCAAAGAGAAACACAGGGGTCGACAGGACTCGTCAGCTAGGGTCGGATGTGGGTGGTCCCCTCCAAGATCTCGGCACTGTCTGCAGGAGTTTACCTGCTGCTGCCTGCACCACGGGTGTTGGACCAGAGCCCCTCCTGGGATATAATCTTCTTGAGGCCAGTGCCCAGGCCAAAAGAAGAAGAGCACTAATGGCCAGCAGGACCCAGCCTCCCAGGAGCATTGCCGCAGAGACCTTCAGGAGAGAGGAGAGAGGGAGGTGGGATGGGGACATGGCGATCACTGGACCTATGGCCCAGTGAGTCCCTGAGATGTTCCCAACAGCCATGTGTTATCATAACCCCATTCTCCCTATCAATAAGCAGAGATCCAGAGATTGCAAGTCCTTTGTCTTAAGACACACAGCTACTCAGATCAACAGAAGCAAAATCCAGGTCAATGAATCACTACACCCTGCCCTTATTAAGCGCTTGCCAGGATCACCAGGGGAAGCACTGTCACCTTTGTGGTCATTTTTGAAGGCTGTATAATCTTCCTCCTGAGTGCTGGACTAGGTTCCTGCTCTTCACCCTCCCCACTGTGGGTCACCATGACATGCAGAACCATAAGGACACGAACACCTCATCTCTCATTGGTTAAAGCCCAGCAGTGCTTTGGGTGGAGTCAGGCTGGGGTGGGCAGGGCGTACATTGCAGAACCGCTGCAGACTTGTTTAATCCGTGACAAATGATTTCCTAGCAGGTGGCTGTATGCTTGAAGAAGGTGGCTTTTCCTGGATTGCAGAAAGATTCTAAGAGCCACCTCTAGATAGAGTCACATGCGCCCCATGCCTGCAGAGCCCAAAGCTCAGGGGTGTAGCCCAGAACCTTATGAAAGCTCCTTGGCTGTTTCTGATAGTTTCTGGGCTTAGGAACCTGTGTGCTCAGACACGGGGACAAACGGTGTAAGTTAAGGACCCTCAGAGCCCACTCCTCAAGAGCCAGTAGCCCTGGAAGACATGTGTCTCACCTTCCAGGCCAAGCCTGGCATGTCCTTCAGGGACCCGAAGGTCATACAGCTCTGGTTCCAGCGGTTATCCTGTGACCAGGAGCAGTGCATGAAGACACCATAGGAGAAGGAAGGGCTCGGGAACCAGGCAGGGGACACCAGGCTGAGGCCAGACATGCCTGTGAGCGAGAGTCCCAGAGCAGCCCTCACGCTGACCTCCATCAGGAATGTGGCTGACCTAGGTGAAGAGGGTGCAGTGAGGTGACCCAGCACTGGACACAACAGGCCCCATTCACATGCTCACTCTCTCACCTACACATTCATGCCTTCCTCCACCCGGGTCTCCCATGACGGTTAGTCTTGAATGTCAGTTGACAAGATCTATAACCAACAAGTCTCCATGAGAGCTAGTCTAGATAGGAAGGCCCATCCTGAACGTGGGCGACAAAACTGGGATCCTATGCTGAATGAAATGAGAAAGTGGGCTAGGCCGCGGCCTTCCTTCATTGCTCTCTGCTTTCTACGGAAGATGTAGCGGCCTGCCCCTCCTGCCACCTTGCCTCGCCTTCCACCGTGGACACTGAACCCTCAGACTGCAAGCCAGAATAAACCCGTCTTTCTTCAAGTTGCCCATTGTCAGGTAGTTGACCACAACAAGAAAATTAATGCCTCCCTTGTCCAAAAGGACAGCCCTGTCCTGCACAGTGGCATCCCTGAGGTCCCACACTCCCAGGCTGGGTTTCTGTCCCAACCACCACCTAACTCCTCTCCGAGGAGGGCCTGGGACTTGTCCATTGTTCGGGGTGGACTAGGATCTGGTGGGGGTTTGGCAGCTGGTGCCAGAGGCACTCGCTACTGATGCTCTTGGGAGACTGTGGATTCCATCTGCTCCTGTCCCACGGGAAGGCATTGTTGATTCTTATCTTGGCCACCAAGAGCCCCATCTCCTCATACCATCACAGTGGGATGAGCATTCCAGCTAGGAACTATAGGGGAATAACAGAGATGTTCAGACTCCCGCAGGATTCTGTGAGAATCTGGGAATGTGACCTTTGGAGTCCTGCTAGACTTGGCATTGTCTCCATCCACTTTCTGCTGCTATAATATAATACTGCAGACTGGGTCATTTATAAAAAAATTCATTTCATTCATGATGCTGGGTACTGGGAAGACCAAGTGTACCGTGTGGCCTCTGCTTAGTATCTGGCAAGATGTGCAGTCCATCTCCCTCTTCTTCTTCCTCCTCCTCTTCCTCCTCCTCCTCTTCTTCTTTTATGGTGTGCATATGTGCATATGTGTAGGTATGCATGAACATGTAGGCACATGCATACAGAGGCCAGAGGTCAGCCTCAGGTGTGAGTCCTTAGGTGTCTTCACTTTTTGTTTTGAGACAGGGTCTCTCCCTGGGACCTGGAGCTTGTTCATCAGGCTGACTGACCATTGAGCCCCAGGGTCTGCACACTTCTGCCTCCCCCCACTAGTGCTAGGATCAGAGACATGCACCTCACCGGACTTTTGTTTGTTTGCTTTTTGAGACACTGGTCTGGCTGTCCAGGACTCCATATGCAAATGAGGCTGGCCTCCACTCAGCGATGGGCCTGCCTCTGCCTTTACTGGGATTAAATGCGTGCGCCCAGACTCAGCAACGCTGGATGTTTTACATGGGCTCTGGGGGCATCAGCTCCTCAGGCTTGCACACAAGCACTTGCTGACGAACAACTCCCTAGCCCTCTCTTCTTCTTCTCACAAAGCCACTAACCAACCATCCTGGGGCCACACCCTCCTGACCTTGCTAGCGTTGCCCACCTTGACTTCCCAGCAGCCCCACCTCCAGACACAGGACTTTGAGGATTTAGTTCCCATCAGGGAAGCTGTGAGGGGTACACCCCAATCATGACCTGTTTTCTAAAGAAAAGTAAAATTCAATTAAACACAAAAAAAGCAAGGGGCTTGAAGCAGAGCCTTACCTAAGTAACAAAGGATGTCTTCTGGTCCGGCCTGGAAGGAGGCTCTGCCAGGGGAGGCTTGCCCTGGTGCTGGTGCTGGTGGAGGTGGAACCTATTCAGACTTTCTCAGGGGTAAGTCAGAGCTGGGTCCTCGCCAATGGCAAATGGCCTGGCAATGCGACTGTAGGACTTGGGGGTTCTCAGAGCCCAGTCGGTACTTAAAGGTGGGGTGAAATCCTAGCCTCTCACCTGGGATCCGGGGCCAGATGGCCACGGCTACAGTCCGTAGTTCCTCCATGTGTATAAGAAGCACATAGATTCCAGCATGTGTGGTCCAGAGGAGCTGGCCATCTGGGCTTGGGGGTGTGCCTTAGTCCTGTCAAGAGGAAGGGGAGATTTCTGTGGGGATGGGGAGAGATGGGCCTGGGCAGACTGGCACAATCAAGTTGTGAGAACTTTCTACTTTGGGATTCGGAATCTCTCTAAGGCTGCTAGCCAGCAGGTGAGGAGCCATCCCCTGGGTGACAAAGAACTTATTTTTCCCCTTTCACCAAAAACCACACCTCCCATGGGTCAGCTGATCTCAGGGGTGTAATTTCAGGCCAAGAATCTGGGGAGTGAAGCCCTGCAGCCCCATCCGCCACTGTCCCAGGGTGCTCTGGTGTTTCTGGGCCCTTGAAAAGACTGGGTAAGCTTCAGTGTCACCTGCGAAAATCACAGCCACTAAACAGGTGCCCGGAAAACTAAGTGAGTTCCTACAACCCCAAAGCTCTGAGGAAGGGTTGCCAGGTGCGATCTGAAGACAGGGTCCTTCCAGACATGGACTCTTTCTCCAGTGTCTGTCTCAGCCAGGCCTGCTGGCCATGTCATTTGGGACAAATGACGCAATGGCTCAAAGCCTCAGTTTCTCCAGTTACAAGACAGGCCCTCACCTACAGCAGGGGCGCTTAATGTTTGGAAGTATGAGCTCCTTTAAAAATGTGATTTCACATAGTGACTGTGTTCCACATTCAAGCTCCAGACTACACAGAGAAACAAACACACAAGAGTGTGTACACTTCAGGGCTCCTGTTGCAGCCCCCTGAAACCTGCTGGGCCCCCCTAAGTGATGCCTGGGGCCAGTCCACTCCTTCCTCTCTCCTCACCTCAGGTGTCCCTTCTGTTCAGGATCCTCACACCTTGGGTCAGGCCTCTCCAAGGTTTCCTTCTCAGTGTGAGCTCCCCTGCTCCATCTCTGGCCTTAAACATAACCTGTGAGCTTTTAAAAGGTCTCTTTTCCTTTAAAAGTCGCATTCAGATTGGTGAGCAAAGCGGGGTCACCCGAGGAACTGGTCTGAGAAGGGTGTGTGCACACCTGTGCATTTTCCTTCCTGGTTCCTGAAATCAATAGCTTTTCACTTTGTACTGACTGGTGGGCGGGACCCAGAGGGGAATTCCAGTCCCAGATAAAAAGGAGGGAAGGGGGATGGGGTTTCCTGGGAAGGAGAAGGCATTTAAAGGGGCTACCTAAGCAGTTATTAAATATGGGGCTTACACCTTCTCTTTGTTCTAAATGGTGAAAATGTAACCCAAAATTATGGAAATGCACTTCAAAGAGGCTCAAGTAGAAATAAGAAATGTACAGATGCACATTGTGGTGATATTTTGCTTGTAATCTAACAAATAAAGCTTGCCTGAAGATCAGAGTGTAGAGCTAAGCCATTAGAGACCAGGCAGTGGTGGCTCACACCTTTAATCCCAGCACTTGGGAGTCACAGGCCTTTAATCTCAGTACTAGGGAGGTGGAAACAGGAAGGCATCTGGCTGGGCAGAGAGAGGAATACAAGCCGGGAGGAGACGCTGCTCAGATACCCTCTGAAGCAGTCGGTCTGAGGATGCAGTCTGAGGATTAGTAGAGACAGGATCACCCTTCGGTCTGAGAATTTGATAGAGGTAGAGGTCTCTCTAGTGGCTGCTGCACTGCTTCTCTGATCCGTCAGCGTTCAGCCCTATATCTGACAGCACATAACATAATTGAAATTCTGTGCAGCTCCGGGCACAGTTCAATCCAGGTAAACAAATGATCTCAATTATCAGTCTGTCACTGGTGTCACACTCATGCCCAGGACACGCGCCTGTATCAGAAGGTGCACATCAGTTGGCATCATCAAAAGAAGAATTTTTCCCAAATTAAGGACAGAAGACCTCAGGGGTCTCTGTGCAACCTAGATCAGGCTCCTCCAGCGGCAGGGCTCTGGGGCTACTGAGGTGAATTCCTGTTTCTCCATTCATGAATCCATCTCCTTTGCTAGAGGGCACTGGGAACCTTTGGGTCCCAGATCTGCTATTACTAGCTGTAAGTGGCCTGACTGGGCTCTGTTCTTCCAGGGGTACCCAGCAGTCCTGCCCAGCTGCTGCTGGCCTTTCCTTGCTGGCCTTTGCTGGAAAAATGCCCTGGTATCCCAGCTTAGCCAGCTCAGTCAGCAGTGACTTGACATGGCTTGATGGTGACCCTGTCTCCACAAAAACCAAATAAATTGATGATGATGATGGTGGTGGTGGTGGTGATGATGATGGTGATGATGATGATGATGATAACAAGAGATCCCAGCAGTTCTAACAACTTACCAGACTACCCCACAGGATGAGACAGACACATGGACAGGTCAGTGGCGTGTGGGTCGGCACGACAAGGACTGCTTAGATGTGTGTATCTCTGGGCATTATTCAAGGTTAATTTACACTCCAGGACCAAAAAAGTGTTGTTAATAAAATTCCTTCCCAGGAATATCTCCTCCCCCAGAGGTCCCAGTGACAAACCAGAGAATGATTGTTTCCACCAAAGTTCACTCTAGAAACAGGTGTTTATTGGACTTCCTTACGGAACCTGAGGGGTGTGGGTGCTCCCCGAAAGGTTGCACTGGAAAGTTCTTCCCCAGCAGGAATGAGGGCATCCCTATAGCTGCATAGATGGAGCAGAGATGGAGCTGGTCTCCCTAGTCTTCCAGGGCCTCTCTACCCTAGCCCCTCCCAGGAACCATGTACAGCTAGGGCAGAGTTGGGGTCACAGGATGCTCAGGTGAGGGTCCTACAACCCTCCACCCCCCAACATTCATGACAGGGTGGAAACCGTCGACGAGCCCAGCTGGGTTCATCTTTTTTTTCTTCGCTTTCCTCTATTACGTTGGCTCTTTTAATTGGCTAATTGAAGATGGGTGACTAGACCTAGCTTGGGGAACAGGCAAATTGATACCCACAAATTGGGTATCAAAACCTCCGCTCCCTGAGTTCTCTCGGCTCCTCAGGAAGCCAGCGGGTGCCAGCAGCAGAGGGCGCTCTACACCCACCTTTCTGCCAAGGGCTGATTCCCAGGGCTTCTCTGGATTCCTACCAGTGAAGGGAGCTAGCTGAGGTTTGTCCAACCTCACAAGGCACTTCCTGTGTTTGTTCACTCTCTCCAAGTCTCTCTTCCTTCGCTCGTATTGGGCTGGCATCAAGTCCCCAATAAGTCTCCAACATGTTCTGAAGTTCGCCTGAGATCTGTTTGCCAGACTGAGATTCCCGGCGTGTGACGTTGAGCGGTTTATGGGGTTTCTCTGCGCGCTTCAGCAGCCGCTGAAGATGCATCACCTCTAACAGGATTGCGGCATTCACTGAACAATCACCTGGCTTGGTTTACAGCTAATTTCAGTAGTATCATCCTTACTAGGGAACTCAGGGGGTCCCTGATGTAGGTTTTAGTCTAATAGATAAAAATACTCCAAAATGGACTTAGAAGGAAACCTGAAGACAATTTTACAGGCGTTTGAGAGAAAAGACCAGGGCAGGTGGGTTACCTGTAGGAGGGGCATGGAAGGGAGAGAGTCAGGTTTGGTCAATTAATGCTCAGGAAAGCAGGTACAGATGGACGGACGGATGCGGGGGGGGGGGGGCATTGATTTGGTGAGAAAGGCTTCCAGGTAGGAACCCAGACAGTAGGAACCCATGCTCATAGGTAAGGATCTGTGAGCCTCAGAATGGTGGGAACAGTTCGGGTTGTATGGGTGTGTATTTTGTTAAAGGCTATTATTCTCCACAACTCCATTAAATTCTATTCTGAGCACGGTCTCCTTTAGCCCAGGCTTGCCTTGACTCTCTTTGAAGCCGAGGATAGATAACATTGAACTTCTGGCCCCACTGCTGCTTCCATCTTGAATACTGCGGTGATGGTCCTGAGGCATCCAGTTTTAAGCTGGAGATCAAACCCAGGGCTCCCAAATGCTGCCCACTGAGCCACATGCCCACCCCCTCCATCTTTTTTAATGTCTTGGAGTCCAACTCTGCAGGCAGGCGGGGTGGGGGAGAGGGAGAGGGATGTTTTCCTATTCGGGTGATTGACCAAGTGAGACAGACTGTTAAGACTGCAATGGAGCCTGGGTGGTGGTGGCAGATAACCTTTAATCCCAGCACTCAGGAAGCAGAGGTAGGGGGATCTCTGTGAGTTCGAGGCCAGCTTGGTCTAAGAGCAAGTTCCAGAACAGCTTGGACTGTTACACAGAGAAACCCTGTCTTGGAAAACCAAACCAACCAACCAACCAAACAAACAAACAAGCAAAGAGTGAATAAATAAAATAAGATAAATAAAAAATTAAAAAACAGCAATGTGTACTCAGAATCCTGAGCAGTTTAGATCATGTCTCCACCAAGGCTAGAGGTATGATTTAGGCCTCTTTTATTTTGACCAAAAACTCTGTATTGAATAGATTTAAACAAATTAAAGAAGTGACTTTGCTGATAAGAAGCTTCCCTAGTCCTCAGTGGAGAACCTAGGGGAATTAAATCTTAAGAAGGGGCACCTGGGACACTTCCCCTTCTTAGGAATCAGTGTGTTACCAGGGAAACGGGAGGGACCATCCAAAGATGATTGTGAGGGGAGGGTGTGTGAGAAACTGCCTGACGAAAGAGACTCACGAGAAAAGTCTTACCACAGGTCCAGAGGGACACAGCCCATCCTGTTGGGGAAGCCCCTGGTCACACTGTACTCAGAAATCAGGCAGTGAACAGGAAGGGGCAGGCTCTAAAACCCCAGGGTCCACCTGCAGTGACCCCCTCCCACCTCCTAAAGGTTCCTCAACCTTCACAGACAACATTGCCAGCTAGGGATCAGGTATTTAAACGCATGAACCTACGGTGAGGTTCACATTCAAACCACATATCAGACCCATCCTTGGTGACGTATGAGCAGGCCAGCTAATGTCTGGCTCTCAACCAGGCCCTAGATTGTGTCCTGTGAAAATCCTGACTCCAAGTGTGGCTCCGTGTAGGGTTCGTTCTGTCCCAGATGCTGGGACCGACTGTGGGCTCCAACTTCAAGGGGAGAGAGAGAGAAGAAACTGGCCATCATGCTACTGTGGTCGGCACTCCAGTGGGTGGGCACATGGCGCAGACATTTCATGTCTAAGTATGGAATCCGTCTCTACCCTGTAATCCAGAAGACCTCTGAGTGAACCGACTGTAAAGCTGAAGTTGGAGGGATGGCCGTTAAGCCGAGGACGGACCAACAGAGGCAAGGGCCTCCTGGCAGGGCAATACAGTACAGCAAAGGTCTGGCGTCAAGAGAAAGCATTTCAAAGACAATATTGGCTCTTAACCCAAAGCAAAACCAAACCAATAATAAATAAACAGGAAGGGCTGGGGTGTGGCTGTGGTGGAGTGCTTGCCTGCTGAGCAGGAAGTGCTGGGTCTGGTCTTCAGCATCGCAGAAACTGGACAGCACACACAGCCCTGTAATCAGGACTGATGCAAGATCCAGGCCAGCCCGAACTGTGTAGTAAAACCCTGGCAAGAAAATAAAGCAGAGAATAAACATGGATGAAACCTGCCGGGCAGCTGTGGGTCTTGGGGCCTCGCTGGCCACCCTGTGACCAGGGTCTTCTGCACGAAGGCTGAAAGGGGCCACCGTGGAGCCCCACTGTTATAGTAAGTGCTGCTGGACAGAGCTACCACCATGGGCTTCCTGGAGGAGGCAGATGTCCTGTCCAAAAAATGATTCTGGGACAGTCCCGGAGTGCACTGTTCTTTGTACCAGGGCCTGGGGTGCCGGGTCTGGGTAGAATGGGGTGCAACCCCTGGGCACGTGTGGCTGGCAGTTTCTCGCTTAGCCTGAGTACAAGAGAATGTGGTGGAGTCTCCCAGGAAGTCTGGCCCCATGAGGACCCAGGTGCCTCTGGGAGTTGTAGTTTGTTTTGCCTCAGTCATCCCTCCACGTGGCTTGAGTCGGCAGCCTGCAGAGTGGGAATGAGGTGATCAAGGGGAACCTGTCTTGGCTTGGGGTCTGTGGCGGTGTTGGGAAAGACAGTGTTTGTTCCCTTCCCTGCTTATATTCTGAGGCAGATTGGCAGTGTCAGGTGGGAGGACCCTGCTGGCTGGGGAGCCGAGAACCACAAGTGTCCCGCCACTCAGAAACATCCTGAC